AATTTTCATCAAAGAAATTCATGAAACTGTAAAAAAAATTCCTCTCAATAATTCAATTATTTCTATAAATAGCAAAATTTTTCAGATTTACTAAAGTCTTTTGAATATTATTTTTAAAAGAATTATTCACAAGAATTGAATTATTTTCATAAATTTTCATAAAAGTCTAAAAAAACAATTCAATTATTTTCAAATGTAATAAAATTCTTCGCAGACATTCAATTATGTTTAAAAATTTTTTTAAATTCTCCTCAAAAATTGAATTCTCTTTATAAATAATTCAATTGTTCCCCATAATTCAATTATTTTCAAAAATTCTAATAAAATTCTACTCAAACATTTAATTGTTTTCATAAATAATAACATTCTTTGGAAGGAATCAATTTCTTTATAAATAGTAAAATTCTTTGTAGAAATTCAATTAGTATCAATAAATTTTAATAAAATTGAATTAATCAAATTTTCAATAATTCTAATTATGAACAGACAAGATTATTTTAAAAAATTAAAAGAATTCTTTGTTTAATTCAATTATTTTCCAAATTTTTAATTAAATTGATTAAAAAAACATTATTTTCAAAAAATTTAAAGAAACTCGTCAAAAAATTTAATTTTTCATAAAACTCTAATAAAAATTTTGTAGATTTATTTATGTTCAAAATAAAATAAATTTAATGAGGAAAAAAAACCGGGAAAAATTAGAACAAAGCTGGAAAAAACCGTGAATTTTGTTGAATGAAAATAGTAGACACCCTGTAAACTCTACCAAATTGTTTATTTCTCTTTTTTATTTAAACAGAAATGTTAAAAATACTTTTACTTTAAAATATTTTCAGTTGAAAATTATTTTAGTTTTAGTTAAAAATATTTTCAGTTAAAATCAGGACTTTTAGTTAAAATACTTTTAGTTAAAAATATTTTTTGTTAAAATACTGTTAGTTAAAAATATTTTCAGTTAAAATTAGGACTTTCAGTTAAAATACTTTTAGTTAAAAATATTTTTAGTTAAAATACTTTTAGTTAAAATACTTTTAGTTAAAAATATTTTTTGTTTAAAATACTGTTAGTTAAAAATATTTTCAGTTAAAATTAGGACTTTCAGGTAAAATACTTTCAGTTAAAAATATTTTTAGTTAAAATACTTTTAGTTAAAATACTTTTAGTTAAAAATATCTTTAGTTAAAGTACTTTTGGTCAAAATATTTTTAATTGAAAATTATATTATATAGAATTAAAAAAATATAGAATTTTTTTCTACATATAAAGTAAATAAACATAAGTAATATTTTTTACTATTTGGTTACTTCTCTTTTGCTGTACAGGAAAGATTGTAAAAAATAAAAAACTATTATTTTTCTATAAAATAGAAAAGAATGATAGAATATAGAATATTGAAATTAGTAATAGGAAAAAAATAAAAAATAAAAAAATAAAATAAGAAAAAAAATAAAATCAAAGAGGAAGTAGTGAAAAAAAAGAAAAAAAGAAATAAACGTTCCTTTATGTACACTGGTAATGTATCATTGATTTCGAAATGCAATGGATATTGGAGTGCGACTCTGTGCACTTTGTGTGTGCTTTCACTTGCTATTTAGACACACCGAAATACTTTTGCGTTATATAGGGAAAAACATGAGTGAATTCTGTGAGAGTATATGTATGTATATATAGTATTTGGTCAGATAGTATCATCTTGAACAAGCCATTGCCCAAGTACTCCATCTCCTGACCCACTAAGCATTTCAACTGTAACCTGACCGAAGAGTAACCGGCAAGCACCCATGGTTTTCAATTATATAGCCTTCTCCTCATTTTCTTTCCCATAATCTCTGCATTTAACCTGTCCTGAAACTTGTACTGTGCGATAAGAACAAAAAAAAAAAAAAAAAAATAGAAAAGAAAAGAAAGAGCAGCAGAAATTTCTTTTTTAATGGTTTCATTTTTTTCCGTTTCTTTTTCTTCTTCTATTCTCATAATCTGATAAGAATAGTTCAAAATTACTAATTTGCTGGTCCAATAATTGTGTGAATTAATATTTTAATTTATGTTTATAATTATATACGAGTTCCATCTCCGATGATTTAATTCTTAATTTTGTATTATGTTTTCGTATTCTAATTTCTAATTTATATTTTAGAATATTATAATTACTATATTCGTATAAATGCGTAACAATTTGTCTGAGTAAAAAATATTTTTTCTACTCGAACACGATTCAATGGCTATTAACTAACAAAATAATTTTACAGATTTAAAAATTCCTTTTTAGTAGGTAAATAATTTTTATTATCAAATTCCTTAGTTCATGAAACGACTATTTAAGTAAATTAATTGTCGTTAAATTAATTGAGAAAAAATTAATTGTCTGACCAAAAATTATTTATTCTACTTAGAAAGTTAATATTGTCCTTAATAAAATATACTATTTTTAATTAAAAATTATTTTTCTGTAATATGTTTGTAATGTGTATATTTTTCTGTAATCTGTTTTGCATATTATCAAAAACTTAAATATAAAGTTTACACTTGAAGTAAACTTTGTCTTATCAAAAACTGTCTCTACTACTTAAAAGGAAAATATTTGCTATTTATTATTTTCAAAAATTGATGAGTTCAGAAACTTGACTCTTTACTAAAAATTGTTTATTTTTTACATTTTTTCATTGAATCAAGCAAAATTTACAGTTAGAAAAAAATGTCTGACTAACAACTACTGTTTCTACTTTGAGAGAAAAAATTCCTATTGGAAATAATTTTGTGTACATGAGCACTTTTTTTGGGGGGCAGAGAAATAGTTTCAACATTTTTTTCCTACATAATTGATACGTAATATGAGAAAATAATTTTGTCTGACCAAAAACTACGGTTTCTACTTAAAAAGATAAAAAAATTCGTATCCACAATAATTTTGTCAACGTTGAAACTTTTTTTGACCCGAAAGAAATAATTTCTAAATTTTTTCCTACAGAATTGATACATAATCTGAAAAAAAATTTGTCTGACCAATAACTACTGTTTCTACTTGAAAAGATAAAAAATTCGTATCGAAAATAATTTTGTCAACATTGGAACTTTTTTTAGCCGGAAAGATATAGTTTCTAAATTTTTTTCTACAGAATTGATACGTAATCTAAAAAAATAAGCTTGTCTGACTAAAAAATACTGTTTCTACTTAAAAACATATAAAACATTCCTATACCCAAAATAATTTTGTCCACTTGATAACTAACTTTGTCAGGAGAAAAATATTTTGTACATTTTTTCCCAACGAAACAAATGCATAAATGAAAAAATTGGTTTGTCCAACCAAAAACTACCGTTTCTACTTAAAAATCGAAAAAAAGTTAAAATATTGACTATAAAAGAAGATTTTTCTAATTTCAATGAAATTTTTTCTAAAGAAGAATTTTTCTATAAAGTTTTCATTCAACAAAATAAGTAAACAACGAAAACAAGTGCGTCTGACTAAAAAGTGATTTTTATACTTGAAATAAAAAATTTTTTTATTCGAATAAACGTTGTCTACGTTAAAACTACTTTTTGCCAGAGAAAAGTAATTTATTAATGTTCCTTACCCATGAAATAAATATAATTAAAAAAATTAGATTGTCTGACCAAAAAAGACATTTTCTACTTAAAAATAAAATTTGCATTTAAAAATAATTTTGTCTACACAAAAATTATTTTTTACCGGAGAAAAATAGTTTTGTATATTTTGTAACAAAGGAAACAATTTCGCAACTGAAAAAATTACCTTGTCTGACCAAAAAAGACATTTTCTACTTAAAAATCAAATTTGTATTTAAAAATAATTTTGTCTACATAAACATTACTTTTTGCCAGAGAAAAATAGTTTGTATATTTTTTAACCAAGGAAACAAACTCGCAACTGAAAAAATTACATTGTCTGACCAAAAAAGACATTTTCTACTTAGAAATAAAATATTTACATTTAGAAATAATTTTGTCTACGTAAAAACTAGTTTTTACCAGGGAAAATTAGTTCGTATATTTTTGAACCAAGAAAACAATTTCGAAACTGAAAAAATTCCATTGTCTGACCAAAAAACAGCTTTTCTACTTAAAAATAAAATATTTTCATTTAAAATTAATTTTTTATACGAAAAAACTTCTTTTTGCAAGAGAAAAATAGTTTGTATATTTTTTAACCAAGGAAACAAATTCGCAACTGGAAAAAGTACCTTGTCTGACCAATAGAGACATTTTCTATACTTTAAAATAAAATATTTGCATTTAGAAATAATTTTGTCAACGTAAAAACTAGTTTTTGCCGGAGAAAATTAGTTCGTATATTTTTGAACCAAGGAATCAAATACATAATTTAAGAAATGTGCTTGTCTGACCAAAAAACGGCTTTTCTACTTAAAAATAAAATATTTGCATTTAAAAATAGTTTTGTCTACGTGATCACTATTTTTTGTTAGCAAAAAATCTTAAAAAATTTTTTTTTCTAACAAAACAAATACGTAACTGAAAAACTTAGCTTGTCTGACCGAAAACGAGCTTTTCTACTTAAAAACAGAATATTTCGATTAAGTAACAATTTTGTCTTCATAAAAGTACTTCTTTTTGCCGGAGAAAAATAGGTTCTAAATTTCTTATCTAAAGAAATGAATATTATTAAAGGATCAAAACTGTCTGACCAACAAATGCTTTTTCTACTTAAAAAGAAAATATTCTTGAAAAATATTTTTCCCCAATTTGAAAAGTACTTTTTTGTCAGGGAAAAATACCCTTTCATTTCTGACCTTAGTTGAAATAAATTTTATTCCATAAAAGTAAGTTTGTCTGACCAATAACTACCATTTCCACTTGAAGAGAGCGACACCATGAGTTTTTCTATTTAAAAATATAATAATAATAATCTATTGAACAGGTACATTTTTTTTTTTCCTAGAATCACTACCTTTAGTATTAATTTCAATCAAATTTGATATTTACTGTAGCAAAATAATTAATTTTCTAAATTTTTTTTTAAGGTGACGGTGTTCCTGGCACCATTGTCGTAAGGGTCGGTAACAATCGACCGGACCTCGGGACAAATCCAATTTGCAATCGTTACACAGGACCCTTGGAAGGTGGTCAACCATTATTTTTGCCATGTAATCCACCCATGCCAGGTGCTTTTGTTTCTGTTCATCTCGAAGCTGCCTCTCAAAATCAAATTCCCGTTCAACTTTCACTCTGTGAAGCTTTCGTCTACACTGATCAGGTAATTATTCTCAAATTATTAGCAATTTATATTTTCAATCATTTTTTGAATAATAATATCTAAATAATGAAGAATTTAATTATTATTTAATAATTAAATTATTAAATAATAATTTCATAATAATTCATAATCAAAATAATTTCATAAATAGTTTCATAATACTTTAATACTAATTTTGACAATAATTTAATAGTAGAGTATTAGTTAATAGTGTTAATACTAATAATTAAATATTAAGTTAATACTAATTTAATATTAGGTTAATACAGATTTAATTATAATTAGTAATAATTTAAAAACTATTTAATAATTATTGAATTATTTAACAATAAATATTTTTTTTCAATTAAGGCCCTGCCAATAGAGAGGTGTCCACAGTTTAGAGACCAACCACCGGGATCGACTGCAACTTATAATGGAAAATGCTACGTTTTCTATAATCGACAGCCATTGAATTTTAGAGACGCTTTGGCATTTTGTCGATCTAGAGGTGGCACTCTTGTCGATGAGAGTAATCCTGCTCTTCAAGGATTCATATCCTGGGAGCTTTGGAGACGTCACAGGTTCGTTGAAATAATTTTATTGACGAAAATAACAAAAACAATCAAAATAATTCCTTTGACTTGAAAATTTGACTTTGAAAATTTCAAAAAAAAATTTCTTTGAAAAGAAACGCAATTTTTTTATTATTGAAACGAGATATTATTGAACAAAAATGGAAAATTATGTATTAATTAAAGAAATTTTGAATAAACATATATTTTGAAGTTTTGTAGAAACAAAAAAATATTTTAATTAGAAACTAGATTTCTTGAATGAAGCGATAAATGTAAGAAAAATGTTAATAAATTTTTAATTAAAGTAATTTTTATTTAATCAGAACAAGAATGTTTTGAAGAAAACAAAAATTTCTTGAGAATAAAACGAGAAATTTTTGGTAAAAAATAAAAAATTTCTAAATTGGAACGAATTTTTTGCTCAATAAAATAAAAACAAAAATATTTTGATAAAAAACTAGAATTTCTTGAATGAAACGTAAAATTTAACAATAATGTCAAATTCTTAATTAAAGTAATTTATGTTTAAACAGAACAAGAATATTTTGGGGAAAACAAGAGTTTCTTAAGAATAAAACGAGAAATTTTAGGTAAAAAATAAAAATTTCTAAATTGGATTGAATTTTGTTCTCTATAAAAACAAAAATATTTTGATAAGAAACTGGAATTTCTCGAATGAAACGTAAAATTTAACAAAAATAAAAAATTCTTGATTGAAACAATTTTCTGTAATCAAAACAAGAATGTTTTGAAGAAAACTAGAATTTCTTGAATTAGACGTGAAATTTTTAGAAAAAAAAGAAGTTTTTAAATAAAAACGAATTTTTTTCTTATAAAAACAAAAATATGTTAACAAGAAACTATAATTTTTTGAATAAAAACGAAAAATGTAGTAACAAAAATAGAAAATACAATCCTTTCTTAATGAGGAAGCAATTATAGTGATTGAAACAATTTTCTTTAATCAGAACAAGAATATTTTGAAGAAAACAAAAATTTCTTGAATAAAACGAAAAATGTTTGAAAAAAACAAAAATTTCTTAATTGAAACAAATTTTATTTTCTTATAAAAACAAAAATGTAAAAAATAAAAAACTCTTAATTGAATTAATTTTTGTTTCATCAAAACAAGAATATTTTGAAGAAAACAAAAATTTCTTGATAATAAAAAGAGAAATTTTTGAAAAAAAATAAACATTTCCTAATTGGAACGAATTTTTTTTTCTCAATAAAAACAAAAATAATTTGATAAGAAACTAGAATTTCTTGAATGAAACGTAAAATGTAACAAAAATCGAAAATTCTTGATTGAAACAATTTTCTTTAATTAAAACAAGAATGTTTTTTGAAGAAAACAAAAATTTCTTGAATAAAAGAAAAAAGGTTTTGAAAAAAAACGAAAAATTTTTGAAAAAAAAACAAAAATTTCTTAATTGAAACAAATTTTTTGTCTTATAAAAACTCAAAATTTAAAAAAAAACTCTTAATTAAATCAATTTTTTTTAATTAAATTGAATTAAATTTTAAATAAATCAATTTTAAAGAAATTAAACAATTTTTTAATTAATACACGACAAATTAATAAACAGTAATGGACATTTTCTAATTACAAAGAGATTTATTTTATCAAAAAATAGTTTTCTGATAAAAAAAAGAATTTTTTGCATTACTTTTTATTTTTAATATTTATAATTTTAAATTTTTAATAATGAATTATTTTTTTAGGAACAAAAAATAAGTTTTTCAAATCAAAAATAATTTTCTTCTTCTTTTTTTTTACAGAAGCGACACGTCGAGTCAATATTGGATGGGCGCAGTGAGAGATAAAAAGGACAGAACCACATGGCGATGGACCGGAAATGGAGAAGAAATCTCAGTGTCATTCTGGAGTTTGCCCCAAGGCAGCGAGGAGGATTGCGCTCGTTATGACGGAAGTCGAGGCTGGTTATGGTCAGACACACCGTGCACAGCGAGATTAAACTTCATTTGCCAGCATCGTTAGTCATTTTTTATTTTACCCTCATTATTATTATTATTATACAATTATATATTTATAAATATAGTAATGCGCTTCTATTTTCTTATGAACTTTGAAAATTTTCCAGCAAAGAATTCTCTCTTAAAAATTTTTTTTTTCAAATTACACGCTTCTTGGAATTGCGTAAAATGGGCTACAATGTATTGTTGTATTTTTAAAAAAAATTCAGTTATTTATATATATACAACTCTATCTATATATTTAGTTCAACCCCCCCCCCTCTCTTTTCCTTTCTTTCGTTTTCATTTTTTCTTTTTTTTCTTTCTTTCTTTCTTTCTTTCTTTTTTTCTTTCTTTTTTTCTTTTTTCTTTCTATAAGTGTATAAATAAATATAATAATAAATATAAATAAATACAGAAAATATAAAAGAAAAAAATAGAGAAAGAAAGAAAGAAAGAAAGAAAAAAGGAAAGAGAGAGAGAAATAAAGAGAGAGAGAGAGAGAAAGAGAGAGAGAGAGAAAGAGAGAGAGAGAGTAGAATATATATACCACTCTCGTTCCAAAAAGCAATTCAAGACTACTACCGTCTCAATTATACTATAAAGGAGCACAAGGTGTGTTCTTCCTAAGAATCTTTTCTTTTTTTTCTCCTTTTTCCTCCGCACACATTCCGCCACACTTTGCATAAAGAATGCTCACCTTCGAGATAACCCAAGTTTCCGTTACATTTTACTGCAACATATACACGTGAGAACACCTGATTATACATTCATTAAGTCTTATATTTTTAATTTTTATACATATATGTATACACTGTTCTCTAATTTGTTGCATTGTTCTCTAATTTCTTTAATTGTTCTATAACTTCTTCCCTTGATTTATCACTCTGTCTTTCAATCATAGAAATAAGTGGTTATTGTTAATTTCGTTTCATTAATTTATTTTACTCAGTCTCTAATAATAAATAATAATAATAATAATAATAATAATTTTAATAATAATAAAATTATATAATAAAATAATATTTAATTATTATTATCATTTTGCAGAACCAAAGGCTTGCGGGAGACCGGAACAGCCACCGAATTCGACAATGTCAGTGACAAATCCATCAGCAAAGTCTGTCGTCAGTGCATATGAAGTGGGAGCTGCTGTGGAATACACTTGCAATGCAGGAAGTCTCCTCATTGGTCCAACGACCCGCACTTGTCTCGACACTGGATTTTACAATGAATTCCCACCCGTTTGCAAAAGTAGGCATTTTTACAAATTAACAATTAAATAATTAAATTTGAATAAAAGTTACTTGACAATTAGTCAAGAAATCCAAAACAATTATTTTGTCAGTGAAAATTTTATTAAAGTACTTCAGTCGGTAAATTACAACTATTTTACAAGTTGAAATTTCACTGATTCAAGTTAAGAGATTGAATAAGTTTGTCTGACTAAAAACTGCTGTTTCTACTTAAAAGGAAAAAATTCTCATCGAAAAAAATATTTGTCTATGCAGGACAAATTTAACTGGATAAAAATTGTTTGTAGATATTGTTTTAAACGAAACAAATAGGTAACTGAAAAAATCAGTTGTCTGACCAAAAACTACTGTTTCTACTTAAAAACGTGAATATTGATTTTTTTTTTTTTTTTTTTTTTTATTTGAAAATAGTTCGTGCAGCCCATGATTATAAAAATTGTTGAAGGGCAATATTTTTACATTATAGTACATTCAAATATACATAAAACAAAAGAAAATCAGAATTTAAAAATATTTTCTTATTACTGAAAATTATATTTTATTTCACAAAAAAAGAATTCTTTATCTTTTCCCATAAGGAAAGAATTAGACAAACAGAAGAAAGTCTGAACAAAAAATACCATTTCTACTTAAAAAGAAAATATTTATAGTCAAATAAATTTCGCCTACTTAAAAACTACTTTTTATAGAAGAAAAATATTTTTTAAATTTTCCTTCCGAAGGAATTAATGAAAAAATGAGCTTGGCTGACCAAAAACTACTTTTTCTACTTAAAAAACGCGAATATTGACTTTAAAAATATTTTCTTGTCACTGAAAATTAGTATTTGCTTCACAAAAATATAATTCTTTATCTGAACTTTTCTTATAAGGAAAGATTTAAACAAACAAAAGCAAGCCTGACCAAAAAATACTTTTTCTACTTAAAAAAAAAAATATTTATATTTAAACAAATTTTGCCTACTTGAAAACTACTTTTTATCGGAAAAAAATATTTTCTAAATTCTCATCCCGAAGGAATTAAGGAAAAAATGTGTTTGTCTGACTAAAAACTACTGTTTCTACTTAAAAAACAAGAATATTTACTTTAGAAATATTTTCTTTTTTAATTGAAAATTCATTTTTGCTTAGAAAAATAATTCTACATTTGAAGTTTTTCTGTAACTAAAGATAGATACAAAAAAAATTGCCTGACCAAAAAATACCATTTCTACTTGAAAAGAAAATATTTATAGACAAATAAATTTCGCCTACTTAAAAACTGCCTTGAATAGGAGAAAAATAATTTCTAAATTTTTCTCCCGAATGGAATTAATAAGAAAATTAGTTTGTCTGACCAAAAACTACTGTTTCTACTTATATAACGTAAATATTGAGTTTAAAAAATTAAAAATATTTTCTTATTACTGAAAATTCGTTTTTGCTTTACAAAAAAAAGAATTCTTTATCTGAACTTTTCTTATAAGAAAATATTTAGACAAAAAAAGCAGTATACTACTAAAAGCTAGTCTGACCAAAAAATACCTTTTCTACTCAAAAAAAAATATTTATTTGAAAATAAATTTCGTCTAATTGAAAACTACTTTTTATAGGAGAAAAATTATTTCTAAATTTTTCTCCCGAATGGAATTAATGAGAAAATTATTTTGCCTGACTAAAAACTACTGTTTCTACTTAAAATGAAAAAATCCACATCGAAAAAAAATTTTTGTCTATGCATGACAAATTTTTTTGACTGGACAAAAATACTGTTTGTAGATTGTTTCAAACGAAACAAATACGTAATTGAGAAAAATCAGTTGTCTGAACAAAAGCTACTGTTTCTACTTAAAAAACGTGAATATTGACTTTAAAAATATTTTCTTTTAATTGAAAATTAGTTTTTGCTTAGAAAAAAAAATAACTCTTTATCTGAAATCTTTTTGTAACTGAAGATAGAGAAAAAAAAACTTTGTCTGATCAAAAAAATACTTTTTCTACTTAAACAGAAAATATTTATATTCAAATAAATTTCGGCTATTTGATAATAATTTCTAAACTTTACTCCTAAATAAATTAATAATAAAATGTTCTTGTCTGACCAGAAATTGCTGTTTCTATTAAAAAAACGAGAATATTGACTTTAACGTTTAAAGTATTTTCTTTTAATTGAAAATTAGTTTTTGCTTAAAAAAAATTTTTTATTTTTAATCTTTTTGTAACTGAAGATAGAAACAAAAAAACTTTGTCTGACCAAAAAATACCTTTTGCTTAAAAAAATTTTTTATTTTTAGTCTTTCTGTAACTAAGGATAGAGACAAAAAAAACTTTGTCTCACCAAAAAATACCTTTTCTACTTAAACAAAAAATATTTATAGTCAAATAAATTTCAGCTACTTGAAAACTACTTTTTATCGGAGAAAAAAATTTTATAAATTCTTCTCCCAAGGGAATTAGTAAAAAAATAAGTTTGTCTGACTAAAAACTACTGTTTCTACTTAAAATGAAAAAATCTACACAAAAGAATGTTTGTCTATGCATAAAAAAATTGTGACTGGAAAAAATACTGATTGTAGATTGTTGCAAATGAAACAAAATATGTAATTAAAAAAATTAAGTGGTCTGAACAGAAACTGCTGTTTCTAATTAAAAAACGAGAATATTCACTTTAAAGTATTTTCATTTAATTGAAAATTAGTTTTTGCTTAAAAGAAAATGAATTCTTTATCTGAAGTCTTTTTGTAACTAAAAATAGAGACAAAAAAAATGTTGTCTTTCCAAAAAAATACCTTTTCTACTCAAACAGAAAATATTTTGAATCAAATAAATTTCGCCTAATTAAAAAACTGCTTATTATAGGAAAAAAATAATTTCTTAATAAATTAATAAAAAAAATGATCTTGTCTGACCAAAAACTATTGTTTCTACTTAAAAAACGATCAAGTTTGATTAAAAAAGTATAATTATTATTTGAATTACTAAATAAAAATTAAATGCTAATATATTTTTCATTGACAGATATCGAATGCGGTTTTCCAGCAAGTATCGTTCATGGAGAATACAATTTAATCAACAATACTGTCAGCTACTTGAGTCAAGTTCTCTACAGTTGTGATGAAGGCTACGAAATGACTGGTATTTCAATTATTTCGCTTCGTTTCATTTTTCTTTTCTTTTTTTCTCATCTGAGCAAAAATTATAATTTTTCCGAAAAAATATAAATAAAATATTTTTTTCCGAAAGAAACAAAAAATATGAAAATAAAAAAAAAATTCTTTTATAGGTCGAGCGAGACTAACCTGTGACATTGATGAGAGATGGAATGGACCACCGCCACGCTGTGAGCCAATTCGTTGTGATCCACCGACTGTTGTGCCACACAGTCATTTCCAGGTGGACGAAATTTCGAGCGAGGAATCTGAAAGCAAAAATAATAATCGCAGTTTAATTGTCGGCAGTATTGTTATTTACACGTGTGACAAGGGCTATCGACTCAATGGTCATCGGCAAATTCTCTGTCTCGCTTCCGGTTCCTACGATCATCCCCCACCCTCTTGTATTGGTAATGACCTTTTTTATCATTAAAAACAAAAAATTTTTTTTTATCATTTTATTATTTTTTAACTGGTAAATTAATAATTTCATTTGATTAAATAAAATAAATAAAATATTTTTGAACTGGTAAATTAATAATTTCATTTGATTAAATTAAATAAATAAAACTGTAAATTACAGTTTTTCTGCAGATATCAAATTGAGACAAGAAAACGAATCAAAACGTTGCTTCGCAACACTTTTGATTCGTTTTCTTGTCTCAATTTGATATCTGCAGAATAATTGTGAATCGAAAATAGTAAACATTTTTATTAATTTAAATTTAAAGAGAAAATAAAATATTTTTTAGTTAAAAGTACTTTTAGTAATAAAATATTATTAGTTAAAAGTACTTTTAGTAATAAAACATTATTAGTTAAAAATTTAAAATACTTTTAGTAATAAATATTTTTAGTTAGTGGAATACTTTTAGCTGAAAATATTTTTAGTTTGAAATATTTTTAGCTGAAAACATTAAATAATAATTGTTATTATTATAATAAATAAAATAAAATATTTTTAGTTGTAAATACTTTCACTTAAGAATATCTTTAGTTGTAAATACTTTCACTTAAGAATACTTTTAGTTAAAAATATTTTTAGTTAGAAATATTTTTAGTTAAAATACTTTTAGTTAAAATACTTTTAGTTAAAATACTTTTAGTTAAAAATACTTCTAGTTAAAAATATTTTTAGTTAAAATACTTTTAGTTCAAAATAGTTTTAATTAAAATACTTTTAGTTGAACATATTTTTAGTTAAAATACTTTTAGTTAAAATACTTTTAGTATTAAATTGCTTTTAGTTAAAATACTTTTAGTTAAAAATATTCTTAGTTAAAATACTTTTAGTTAGAAATATTCTTAGTTAAAATACTTTTAGTATTAAATTACATTTCGTTAAAACAACTTCAGCTAAAAAACTTATCAGTTGAAAAATTTTTAGCTAAAAATATTAAAACCAAATTTAATTTGTCCAACTAAAGGAAAAATTAATAAAGAAAAAATTTACTAAAAAAAATTGTTTCTTAGACGATTCGACAATTTCTCCGGCACCACCGCGAGCAACTCACAGACCATCGTCGAGTACAAGAGGAAGACCCTTCATTCCCACGCGATTCAGATCATCATCACCATCGTCGTCGTCGTCGTCATCGTCATCAACAACATCATCGACAACAAGCAGTACTCTGAGTTCGATACCAACGAGAAAATCGTCATTCGCACACGCCGAGCAACCGGCAACTGTTCGCGAAACAATTCAGAGGAAATCGTCGATAGGCCTGCAGAAGCCAGTGACGACGCAGCATGTCAACGATGGCAGCAAAGATCATCCACAGGATAATGAAATTTCGGGAAGTGGCGTTGATAATAGAGAGACGTCCCTTGATTCGGGTGTTCCTGAACCTTCGGGACCTTATCGAGTTAATAACGAGCAGCCAACGCATCAAGCGAAATTGCATCTTGGCGCTGTTATTGCATTGGGCGTATTTGGAGGATTTGTTTTTCTAGCCGCTGTCATTACGACTATTGTCATTCTTATTCGCAGGTGAGAATTGGTTTTTTTTTTGGTTTTTTCCTCTTTTTTCTCTTTAGTTTCTGAACTGAAAAAAAAAATTTATTTGATTCAAATTACCGATTACTTGACTATTATCAATGAAATATTTAATTGAATCAAGTAATATTTATTAGAGTTAATTAATAATTTTCAATTTATCGGTTATTTCAATGAAATAAATTTTTTTCAGTGGGTGTATAGAATTTATTGTTTATGTATTAGAAAACTGGGAACCTTTGAACGAAGTTTAAAATTGAATTTTTGATTTCAAACTTATTCATTAAATTTAAAATTTTCCTGTGTTCTTTTTAGATTTTTTCTGTTTTTAAATGAATTAGAATTACATTTTTTTAATTTTAAATTATTTAAAATCTAGTAACATTTTAAATAAATAAATTTATTTTCCGGTCAACGCCTAAATACATTTTTTGTTTTAAATTAATATATTTCTTACTAATTATTATTATGTAGTTTCTTTATTTAATTTGCTTTATTTTTTTATTCTCTTTATTTTTTATTTTCTTTATTTCATTTTCTTTCTTTATTTTATTATTTTCTTTACTATATTTCCTTTCTTTATTTTATTTTATTTATTTTTTTATTTTCTTTACTTTATTTTGTTTCTTTATTTTATTTTTATTTTATTTTTATTTTTTATTTTATTCTCTTAATTTTATTGACTTTATTTTTTAATTTTCTTCATTTTATTTCGTTTCTTTATTTTATTTGGTTTTTTTATTCTCTTAATTTTATTCACTTTATTTTTTGTTTTCTATATTTTCTTTATTTTATTTTTTTCAATTTTTTATTTTATTTCGTTCTTTTTATTTTCTTTCTTTATTTCTTTTTTGTCTTTATATTCTTTATTTTCTTCGTTTCATTTATTTTTTTATTTTATTTATTCGAATTCAAATTTAAAATTAATTTAATTACAATTCACTTTCAATTATCTAAAAAAAACATATTCTATGGTGAAATCGAAGAGTCAATTTTTATAAATAAAACTTTGAAAAATAAGACAGTGAATTACATTTTGTTTTTGAGAACAAAATAAAAATTTCACTTTCGCGAAGGTTCCTGATGTAAAAAATTAATTTCGATTTTTAATAGCTACTTATGCGTATGGGGCAATCCGTGACAAATTGAATATTATTTTTCTTTCACATTTCCGATTTTCTTATTTGAAACTCTTTTTATATTCAAACTAATTAAAATTCTGTCAATTTTCTGTAAAATCATTTGTAAAACTAATAACAAAAATATTATATACAACTAATTTCAATTAATTGATTAATTCTATTAATTTTTGATTAATTAGCTTCAAATTAGTTTCCAAATTTGTTAATTTCATTAATTTTGATTAAATAAATTAATAAATTAATAATAACTAATAAATTAAGACAAATTTAATTATTACTTTATTTATTAATTTTATTTTATTATCAAAATTCAAATAACAAAATTCGTTTATTCTATAAAATGTATAAAATTTCAATCTTTGTCTCTTCAAAACACTTGAATACGATTTTTAGTAATTCAGAAAAAACGGAAATGAAAAAACAAAATAATATTTGATTAAATGCCGCAAATGTTATTTTTCTTTTTTTTCTCAAAACTGTTTTTCGTAACTCTCTAGGCTTGATTTTATAGACTAATATAACTCTTCTTAACTTCTTTCTTATTTTCTCTTTGTATAACAAAATACCAAATATTTAATTCTACCTTCTAAAATTTTAATCTCACCTAATAAATATTTATTGTCTTCATTCAAAAGTAGAAGTAACAATAATTTTCATTAGAAGCTAATAATAATAATAATACTTGTAAATATACATATTAATTTATTTAATATTAATTTTCCAAATAATTTTCAGTAGAAAAAATTAATAATATCTTTGGGGTTCTTTTTGCAAATGTTTAATAACTTTTCTCTCAGCAAAATGCGAATGTTTTGTAACATTTTCATTTTTATAAATTAATTAATTAATTAATTTTATTTTTATAAATTTTTCTTTTAACAATCAGCCTTAACAGCAACTCTAAATTTCTCTAAAAAATTTTTTTAGTCTTTGATATTTTTTTTTCTAAATCACCTTTTCCCTGATTTCTTAATTTTTAAATTAGAATTAACAATAATTTTTGGAATTCTTTACTGTAACAAATATCAAAATTTTTTGACTCTATAAAAATTTTTTATAGAAAAAATCGGTTTTTGCCTGTTTTATTACAATTTTGTTAAATTTCTAAATTTTTTCTAGGTTTTTGTTATTTTTCAACATTCACTGTTATAAAGAATAAATACTAATTGTTTTTTTTTTATTTTTTACTTATTTTATTTTAATTACTTTTTAATAGTTACAACAAAATAAAAAATATATATTATATAATACTTTTTTCTTGTTGTTTTTTATTATTTAGTATTTAAAAAAATACTATTAGAATAATATTAATGTCAGAAAAATATTACTATACTATAATATTTTAATATTAAAATATTATTATAATAATATTTGTTACTAGAAAAATATTATTTTAATACTATTTGCTACTAGAATACTATACTATAATATTTTTTTTCTTTCTGTTGTCTCTATTAATTATTTATTATTTAAAAACTAATTTCTTTTTTTATTATCCTGCACAAAATATTCGGCGCTTATTCGGTTATTTTACTGCCGTAGAATTATCAAAATTGCTTGTACAGCAAGAATAAAAAAACAAAAAAGAAATTTTCTTTAAACGAAAAAAGAAAATATTTCATGGAAAAAAATCTACGAAAAAAAGAAGATAAAAATTTTAAAAATGAAATAATTTAAAAAAGAAGAAGAAGAAGAAGAAGAGAGAATTAGTAAACAAAAAGTAAAATAAAATCTGTAAATGAACCTATGGAGTAACGAATAATTTTTTTCTCTAAATAGGGAAAAAACTCAATTCATAATAGAATATAATAAAAAAATTACACAAATTTAAAAAAATAATAGAAAAATTATTGTAAAAAAATTATATAAATATCAATAGAATAGTAAAAAATTATATAAATAATAATAATAATTGTAGTAATAGTACATTATGCAACAAAGATTTATTATGGTCAGTCTACATTACCTGCTCTCGTGCTCATTCAGTTTCTCTAAATAGCCAAGCTGGTCAATAAAGTGCCCATTATTTTCCTAGGGCAATAATGTGTACTTTATTAACCACTCGCAGGAAAATAGAAAAAACATTATTGCCCTAGAGTAATAATAGGTACTTTATTGACTTGCGAGAGGTTAATAAAGTGACCATTATTGCCCTAGGGTAATAATAGGAACTTTATTGCTCTAGGGAAATAATAGGTACTTTATTGACCTGCGAGCGGTTAATAAAGTGCCTATTATTGCCCTAGGTCAATAATAAGTACTTTATTAACCTACGAGCGCTTAATAAAGTGCCTATTATTGCCCTAGGGTAATAATAGATACTTTATTGACCTGCAAACGGTTAAGAAAGTGACCATTATTGCCCTAGGTCAATAATGATCCAGTACAGAAAAGTAAAGTGACCATAATACCAAGTGACATAAAAAAAATTACATAGATAATAAAAGAAGTGAAAAATTTGTATAAATAATAATATTAATAGATAAAAAACAAAAAAAAAAGAATTAACTAAAAATAATTGGTTTTGGCTGTGACGATGTAGTGGTAACGGCAGCGTCGGAGGAAGGCGCCGCAGGGGGCTCGGTGGGGTTGGTGCGTTGGGAGGCGGCGGGAGTGGTGGCCTTGGTAGGGGTGATTCGGGTATGCCATCACGATGGTACACCCTTCTTGCGCTACCGTTCCCCGACCAGCACCTGGGGCGCCGCGACCTCACGGCACGCCGAAGTAGCGATCATCCCTATTCCTTTAGTTTATCGGCTGCCCATCGCGCTGGTTACTTTTCAAATCCCTCACTTTGATTCAAAAAAAAAAAAAAAAAAAATAGTTCATTAAATAAAACAAAAAAAAAACTAACCAAAAAAAAATTATAGTTAAACTCCCCCCCCCCACCTACAAACCCGCCCCAGCCCCGCCAACCCCTCCTCGTTTTTAAGCGACCGAATCATCGCAACATCATCTACCTCCTCAACTATACCACACGTCACCTTCACTGGCGATTATTAGTCAAGGTAAACAGGGCAATGAGTCCACGATGATTTTTCTTCCACCTGATAATAATTATTCTGGACGAAAAAAATTGTTATTATTAACAAAATATGATAATTAATATTTTAATAATGTTTGTTAATTATTAATATTAGATAAAGATTAATTATTCTATTTTTATTAATTATTAATATCTATTACGAATATGCAATAAAAATTAATTGTTATATATTTATTAATTAATTATTATAATTAAGTATTATCAAATAATAATGTTAATAATTATTATTTCTAATAAAAACAATATTAATTAATATACACTCAGAGAAAAGATATATTATTTGACTCAGAGCCAACTAAACTGTTTATTTGGTTCAAATATATTTATATTTTGGTTTAAATAAAATTTTATTTGGTTTAATTGAATTTTAATTGGTTCAAATCTATTTTATTTGGTTTAATTAAATTTTAATTGGTTCAAATCTATTTTATTTGGTTTAATTACATTTTAATTGGTTCAAATCTATTTTATTTTGTTTAAATAAAATTTTATTTGGTTCAAATAAACATTTTATTTATGTCGAATAAATTTTATGTTTAAAACAAATAAATAATCATTTTAGTTGTTTTAAATGAAAGTTGGTTCTGAGACAAATATATACGTTTATTTAACTCAAATAAAATATATTTGATTTTAAATAAAAGTTTTCTCTGGGTGTAGATAATAATATTTATTTACAATAAAAAGAATATTAAATGATATTCACAATAAATGTTATTTGTAGTATTAATTACTATTGATATTAAAAAAATAATAAATATTATATTTAATAACTGATAAATAATAATTAATTAATGTTAATAATAATGATTTTTTTGTTATTATGAATAATTATTATTGTCTACTTTATCGAGCACCGTTTTAGATTTAGGGGGTTGCAAATATAGAAAATATTCACTCAGAAAAATAACGTGCTCGATTAATAATGTGGCTGTAAAGAATATTTTTTTGTCTTTCAAGTGAATTTATTTATTTTAATAAATATTTATCCTGATATTTATTTTTATAAATTATTATTCACTCAATTTTTTGAATTTTTATGTATTATAAAGAGATAATTTAAATTTTCTTTAAAATTTATAACTGGTTTTGAAAAAAAAAATTTAATTCAGTTGAAAAAAAAATTTTTAATTAAATTGATAAAAATATATTATTTAAATTAAATTTTTCTGAGTTGCTCCACTGGGTTCTTTGCACGAACGCTTGTGAAAAAAAAATTTCTTCTGCGCGATCTCTTCTCTTCTTCCTTTTTTCTATTCTTTTTCTATGTCACATTTTTTAAAATTATTTTTTCTTGATTGCTTTCTTTACTATTTTCTGCTATATTTTTTTTACAAATTTTTTTTCTAAACTCACTTGCCTATGCTGGTTCTGGTAATTAGCACACTTTTCTCCCTCTCTCTCTCTTTCTCTCTGAATAAAAATTAAAATCTAGAGAAATAAAAAAAATGAATAAATAAATAAACAAAAAACAATAATTTCTTATCAATTTATTAAACAAAATTAAAAAAAAAATTTTTTAATTTAAAAAATCAAAAAATCTTTGTTTAATAAATTGTAAGAAAAAGGAATTATTTGAAAAAAACTATTTTAAGTATATATTTATTCGACAAATTAAAAACCATTTTTTTTAGTTAAAGGTAAGATACACTGACCATTGCACCATTCGCAGAAAAAATGTCCGCTTGCTGCTTTAAAAACACAAAATCAAGTACTAAAACTTAAGAAAAACAATAAATTTCAATTAAGTAAAAATTTCCTATCAGAAAAAAATTTGGAAAATATTTTAAAAATATTTTTGAATTTTAGAAAGTATTTTAGAATTTTGGAAAATATTAATAAATGTATATTCAAACATTTTTCTCTAATATTTTGCAGAAATATTTTCTCTTTACTTATACTGGAATATTTTTCAACAATTTCCATTAATTAAAATTTTTAATTATTTTAATTAATCAATTAATAATAATAATATAATAAAATATTGAATATTGGTGGCAAGTATTGAAGAAATATTACAGTAAAATTATTAATAATAATTATTATTATTATTATTAAGTAATCAATTTATAGGGAAATAGTTATCTAATATTTTACAGAAATATATTTTTTTATTATTTTACTAGAATATTTTTTCAATTATTTATATTAATTAAATTAATTATTAATTGTCAATTGAAAATAAAATATTGAAAATTGGTGTTAATTACTGAAAAATATTGCAGAAAATTTCCTACAAAATATTGTAAAATTATTCTTGCACATTATTCATGAAATATTTTCTAAAAAAAAATATTTAATATTTTTTCAATATTATATTATTAATATTTTTCAATATTAATTCAATTCATTAATAATTATATGAAATAATGAAATTTCATATATTCAAGGAATATTCCTGTAAAATATTCAAGAAATATTCCTACAAAAAGTTGAAGAAATTTTTTCTCGAATATTTTTGAAGAAATATTCCTGTAAAATATTGAAAAGTAAAATTGAATCAACAATTGAAAAAATATTCCTAAAAAATATTGAAAAATGAAATTAAATCAACAATTGAAGGAAAATTCCTTATAAAATAATAAAAAATAAAAATGAAGGAATTTATTCTGTAAAATATTGAAAAATAAAATTAAATCAACAAATTGAAGAAATAAATTCAGAATAGAATATAACAAAAAAAAATAATTTTTTTTCCTGGGAGCGTTGGACACGCGCAGCAGGGCTTTCGAAAAAAAATCAAAAAATATTTTTCTTTTTGTTACTTTTTTTTTAATTTTGTTTTTTATTTTTTGTGAGTGATTGGTTAAAAAATTTGTATTCTCTGTTAAAATTTAGGAATCGTGGACGGGGAGGTAATAAACATTATCGTCATCGAGCATCGCCTGATTGCAATACTGTGGCCAGTTTCGATAGCAGCTCATCGGAGAGTCGTGGCGGTTTAACGAGATATTATCGTCAGGCATGGGAGAATCTTCATGAGACAGCTGGTCATAAGGCGAATCACGCTCCTCTTCGTCGTAAGGAGACCCTGGATGAACCAGGATATAGAGAAAATTTTCGTGGAAGCAATACAGAGCGTGACGGTTCCGAACTTGTCGTCAGTGACGTTGCCGCTTATCCGGCGAGTAAACAAGCCAGCATGTCAGACAAAAAGCGTCATCATCATCACCATCATCATCATCACGGCACGCCTGAATGGAGACAATCTCAAACACATCATAGATATTAAGTTCAATTATTATTTTCATTTTTCTACAAATAATTTCAATTACTTTTTTTTTCATTCTCTCAAATTTTTTATTTCAATTATTTTTATTCTTTTAAATTTTTTTTCAATTATTTTTATTCTCTGAAATTTATTGTTTCAAGTATTTTGTTTTTCAATTATTATTTTTATTTTCTGAAATTTATCTTTTCAAGTATTTTTTTTCAATTATTATTCTTATTCTCTGAAATTTATTGTTTCAATTATTTATTTTCTCATAATTCTTATTTTCGATTATTTATTTTATCAAAATTATTATTTTTAATTATTGTTTTCTTTTTCAATGATTTATTTTCTTGTAACTATTATTTCAATTACTATTTTCATTCTCTCAACATTATTATTTCAATTGTTTATTTTAACATAAAATTATTATTTCAATTGTTTATTTTTTCAAAAATTATTATTTTCAATTATTGTTTTCATTTTCTCGAATTTATTATTTCAACTATTATTTAGTTTCAAAAAATTTTATTTTTTTAATTATTATTATTTATTTTTTCATTTAATGAATTATTTTTTAATTTTCCAAATTGTTATTTCAATTATTTTTTAGAGATTTATTATTTCAATTTCTTTTTTTATTTTTCAAATTTATTTTTTCAATTTCTGTTTTATTTCTCTATCATTCAATTATTATTTATTTTCTCAAAGTTGTTACATATTTCAATTATTTTTTTTCATTTTTCAAATTTATTATTTCAATTATTTGTTCATTTTTCAAATTTACAATTTCAATTATTTTTTCAGTTTCCAAATTTATTTTATCTATTATTCTATTTGTTCCTTTATTTTTCTTTTTGTTTCCTTCTGTTCTTTAAATACTGTATTTTTCCTAAAGCCACTGGGATTTTTTTTTCGAATTCGAAAACAAAATTCAAATTTTTATTCTTTTTTCTTCTTTTTATCTGTTTCTTGTTAATAGGCAGAAGTCTATTTTTGACTTCCGAATGTTTTCGTTTTATTCTCCTGCACTAAAATTTTTGACTTCTTCTTTTGTTAAAGGAGATTTTTTATTATGATTTTTATTATCATTTCCCAGAAGAATATTTTAATTATTTCTTTTATTTTTTAATCAATAATTAAAAAAAATTAATTAATAATTAATAATTTTCCATATTTATTTAAATAAATTTTAATAATATAATTAAAAACTATTAATTATTATTTAATTATTATTTAATTATTTTTTAATTATTTTTTACGACGAAATTTAAACAATTTTTTCTTGTTTATAATTTTTATTCATTTGTTTGAAAAACAAACATTAATTGAAGTAGAAAAAATTTCTTATTATCTTCTGGAGGAGAATTTCCTGAAGAATATTTTACAAAATTTTTCTTGTTCGTAATTTTTACTTATTTTGTATTTAATTAAAAAAAAGCATTTTCTTCTGGTGGGGAATTTTTTTTATATTTATTTATTTTTGGACTAAGATTGTATTTCTTCTTTTTGGAGAAGATTTATATCTTTAATTTTAAAACGAGAATTCTATATCTTCTTGTTGTGGAAAAATATTTAAGAATATCTTTATTTGCGAGGTGAAAATATCTATTTTTTTGGTAATGTGAAATATTTAATATATATTTTTTGACAAAAGAAAAATAAGTCAAAATATTTGTTATATTTGGTGAAAAAAAATTATCAGTAGTTTTATTTATATATTTTTAACAAAAAGAAGATATTATTTTTCTTTGCAAAGGGAAATGAAAATTTTCCGTCCGACTTCTTACGAATTAAAAATTATTCGAAGAGAAAAAAATTCAAAAACAGCGCCATTTAAATATTTAAACAAAATTTATTTCGAACTCTTCTTATTTTTACTAGTAGATTAAATTTCTATTTTTCTATTTTCTATTTTAATTTTTTATTTTCATTCGTATTTTTATTCTTATTTTCATTTTCAAATTATATTATTTACTTTTTATTGTTTTAGAAAAGTGGAAAAAACAAAGAAAAACAAAAGAAATAAATAAAAATTGGAAAATAAAAAATTGAAAACTTTTTGTTTACTATTTTTTATTTTCAAATTTAAATATTTGTTTTTTACTGTGGGTTTTTTACTTTCTGCTTTTTATTCTGTATTTTTTATTCTCTACTTATTATTTTTTACTTTTTATTTTGTATTTATTATTTTCTACTGATTATTTTTACTTTTGAATTTTTTATTTTTTGCTTTTAATTCTCTACTTTTTATTTTTTATTTTCTGCTCTCTATTTTCTACTCTTTAGTTTCTACTTTTTATTTTCTACTTTTTACTTTCTATTTTTTCTTTTACTTTTACCCTTTTTATTTTTTAATTTTCATTTTTACTCATGTTTTACTTTTTATTTTTTACTTTTCAGTTTTTATTCTTTATTTCTACTTTTTATTAAACAAGAAAATATTTCTTTTCTCTATTAAAAAAAAACGAATAGAAAGACTTTGGGAACACACAGTATTCGAAGATCCGGTAAAAAAAAAATTCTAGAGAAACTTGAAAAAAGAAAACGAAAAAAATGACGAATCTTTTTCTATTCGTGTTCTGTTATATGCGCCTTAAATTATTATTTATCACTAGCTCATTAATGTAAATAGCTATATAGAAATGTAAGAATATTTGTACGTGCATACAATTCTCCCTCCCCTCTCTCTCTCTCTTAGAAAAAAGAGAAGAAAAATTATTTTCCCCCCAGTGTATATCGAGAGACTGATGGTTTTATTGAATTTCTTCCATTGTATGTATGCATGTTGACTGGTCGGAGGACATGCCAAAAAAAATATGCAGAGAGTAATATATAAATATTAATTAATTAATTATTAAAATAATAATAATAATGTAAATTAATATTAATAATTAATAATAATATTAATAATTTTAATGTAAACTAAATGATCAAATATGACAAAAATGTATTATTTTTTTGATACATACATTTTTCTTCACTAATTGTAAAACATTAGTTAGCAATTTTCTTTTTTTTTTGTAAACAATAATTAGTTATTCTACACACGTACAATAATTAATTATTATAATAATTACATATAAGAATATAATTATTATAATATTATATGTAACAATATAATTATTGTAATATTATATATAGTAATATAATTATTATACTATTATATTCAAATTATAATAAAATAGATAATTATATTATTATATAAAAAAAAGAGCGGTTTCTCTATTTTTGTTATAAACAAAAATGGAGCATGAGAAGTGAAATGCTAAAATAATTTAGAAACATTGTAAATTTTTTTACTATACGCATTTTATAATTATTGTAATTATAAATTATAATTAATGTCTATAAGCTATAGTTAATATATTTATAAATAATTTATAATTTATAAATATATTAATTTTAGTATTCTTTAATTAATAAATTTATAAACTATAATTAATATAATTGTAAATTATAATTATTATATTTATAAAACTGTAATTATATAATTATAAATTATAATTATTATAACCAGTAGGAATTTTGACGGCGTTTTGTAATTCTATTTCCATATTAATAATTTTTTTTATACAACGTTTTGATAATATATTTATTATTATAAAAATTCCCATTTTTCGGAAATTGTGAATGTGATCTAAAAAAGAAATGAATTTTCGTCAGTCGCAAATTTTTCTTGTGACTAAATGACAATAATTGTTATATTTTATATAAAGAAAATTAAAATTATATAGTAGTGCCATTCTCGGCAATACACTTTTTCATGAAGCACAGGAGGCGAAGTGTACTTTTTTTTTTATTTTATTTTTTTTTTTCGTATAGCGTTCAAAGTGCATGCAAAATGAAATGTTTGTTATATACATACTCTTATATATGTAATATTGAATTGTAGACGCAGTGTTTATTGTATTTTTTTGATGAAAGTATATAAACGTATTTATATAAGAAAATCGTTTTATTTATTTAGTTTTTATAACGTCGTTTTGGTAAATTAACAATTTTTTTCTACATAAGCGATATTTTTTTTCTTCTTTGCTAATTTTATGTACAAAATTATTTGACATTTATTTTTTCAATTGTAATATTTTTTATAATTTTCAAAATATTAAAAATTAAAAATTAAGAATTAAAAATGAAGAATTAAAACTTATGAATTAAGAATTAAAAATTGAAACTAAAAACTTGAAAATTAAAAATTATTAAAAATATTTAATATTCTTCTTTTTCTTAATATTTTTTAATTTTAAAATTTTTCTAAAATTAAAAAAGAAATATTATACAGGTTTTTATAGCCTCAATAATTCAACTATTGTCTTGTCAGTTAATTTCGAAATTTGATCGTAATTTTTGTTGGTTTATCACATTATAAACTTCTTTTTTTTTCTTTTGAAAATTTTAATTTGTTTTTTTTTTAATTTTATTTCGATAACCATTTGGCAATTAAGTTGCCAATTTTTTTTCTCGCCTCAACAAGTTCGGGAATATCGTTCTTTGAAGGTGGATACATATTGGCACAGTGAGCAGTTCCTGTCGAGGAATAAAAATAAATTAACATATTTTTATAAATAATAAAAGAATAAAAGTGATTATTTTATTAAAAAATAATAACTTATTTATTTATTTAGAATATTAATAATATGAAATGAATCAAAATAAATAGGAAAAATAAATGAAAAGAAAGAAATGGAAAAAATAAAAATACAAATAAAATGTAAAAATAATCAAATGAATAAATAAATAAATGACAAATAAATAATAATTAAAGGTTTTTTTTTATAAATAATTATAATTATTTACCATTTATATAAATAGAGGGAGAATCAGGATCCGTGGATTCGGTGATACCTAAAGCATGCCATGGATCAATTGATCCATGAACATAAACCACATTAGTTAATTTTACATCAAGTGCCCCGTAGAAAATATTCGTGCGCTCTATTCCCGTGTCCAGTACGTGACGAAATCTGAAAATAAATTAAAAAACAATTTAATTAAATGAAAAGAAATAATATAATGAAAAAGAAAACAAAAAGAAATTTAAATATCACTTTATTATAAATAATAATAATAAAAAATGTAAATAAATTAATTGTTTTAAAAAAAACCTTGGTCCAAAAACGTCAGCGCATTGTTGAATGAAAAAGTCAATTGGAAAAGTGTCACTGACTAATTTTGGCCGTGCTGTTGAGGTTTGGAAAAAGCCAAATTCCGTGCAAGTCTGATAAAACCACTGACGACCTAATTTTCAGGGGAGAAAAAATTAGTTGATAAATTCTATTCATCTCATTGCGAAATAAAATTAATGTCAATTAATATAAAAAATTCATTAAATCAATAATTAATTAAATTTTTTAGATAATTTTTCTAATAATCTTTCAACAAATCAACAAATTTTTCTAAGCATTAATTTTTATGTAATTCTATTATTAGATTTTTGTTTACGTATTTACATATTTATTTACTTGTTCATATATTTTTTTATTTAGTTACTGATTTGTTCACGTACTTATATATATTTATTGATTTATTTACTCATTTTTTAAATTCATTTACTAATTTATTTACTTAATTTTTTATTTGTTTACTTCTTTATTTAGTTATTTATCTATTTACTTCTTTATGTATTTAATTATTTATTTACTGATTTAATTACTAATTCATTTACTTATTTATTTACTTAATTATTTATTTGTTTACTTCATTTTTTAATTATTTATTTTTTTATTTATTGATTTCTTAATATTTATTTAGGTACTTATTTTTATTTATTATAAAATATTATTTATTTACTGATTTATTTACTCATTTATTTTTTTAATTATTTACTTGTTTACTTCTTTATTTGGTTATTTATTTATTTTCTTAATTATTTATTTGTTTACTTGTTTATTTCGTTATTTTTTATTTTGTATGATTTTTTTTTATTTATTTTCTATTTATTTTTTATTTATTTGTTTATTTTTTTATTTATTTGTTTATTTTTTTTTATTTACTTGTTTATTTTTTTTATTTACTTGTTTATTTATTTTTTGATTTAATTACCTCCCATAATTTTTTGCTCCTTCCACGTGACATTTCTCAATTCGTCGATCATTTTTGAATAAACATAATCGAGACATTTTTCTTTGCTGTCGGTTAACATTAAATTATTAACCTCGGCCAATCTATCGATGGGCGTTCCACGTTTTTGATCGACCAAAATATCGCAAACTTTGTCAATTGTATAATGTGATCCATTTCGATTGTCCTTATTGTATTGAACAATTTCCGCTAAATTTCCAGCTAGTGTCTCATATAAATTGGAAATGTCGACATTTTTTGTTCGTCCCGTATCAATTGGATCACATAAACTAAAAAAGAGAAAATGAAAAATTAAATAATGATTTTTCAACCTTTATTTCTTTTAATTCATAACTGTTTTATGTTTTTTGTATATAAATACTTATATTTTTTTTATTCTAAAAATTAATTTTTGTATATATAGAAGTTGATATAAAAAATTAAAAAATACTTTTGATCAAAAAAAGATAAAAAGAATTTTCTTTTAACTTTTCTTTTCTATGCAATTTTAATTATAGTGTATTTTTTGAAAAAATCTCGAAATTGTAATTTTTTCTCATTTTTTTACTTGAATTTTTCAACGAGGCCTCGTTGTCCCAGTGGATGACGTAACATTATGTGAATTTGATCATTGGCTTTTGTTATTGCATCGACGCAATCCTGTGAATGGGTCTTCAATGAATTTTCCACAATTACGAAATATTCTGCAAAATTGAAAATTTTTTTTTGTAAAGTATTTTCAAGTGAAGAATTAAATTAAATTTTATTTTTTCAATATAAATTTCTCTAAACTAACGTTAAAAATCCAATTAAATTTTTTAAAAAATTGTCTTCACTGCTATGAAAAATACAATTGAATTTTTTTCAATTTTTTTTAAACTGTCGTAGAAAATCCAATTGAATTTTATTTTCAGATTTTTTTTAGCTGATGTAGAAAATCCAACTGAATGTTCTTTCTTGAATTTTTTCAAACTACAGTCGATAATACAATTTTCTTTTATTATTATTTTTTTTTATTTTTATTTATTTTAAAAAAATTTTTTGTAATAAAATTTCTTTTGTACTAACGTTGAAAATCCAGTTGAGCTAAAAGTGGACCACTGGCCGAAACTGCACCATGAACTAAATACGGATACTTTAGACGCATCCATGCAGCTAATGAGCCAGCGTATGAACCACCAAAGACAATAAATTTCGTGTCACGTGGAATTTGATGCAAACTAATCATTTCTTCAATGAAGTATGCAATATCAGCCAAAGCTTGCTCTGATGTTAAATAAACCAAATTCTTCACACTCAGATCGCTGAAATATTATTTTATTTTTTTTTTAATAAACAAAAATTAAGATTAAATAAAAAACAAAGAAAATTAAATAAAATATTACTTACGCTGTCGGTTGACTTTTTCCATAGAAACGATGTTCAATTTGAAAACACTTGGCTCCAAATTGTTTGGCATATTCTATCCATTGTCCTTCCACCATCCACTTTGCACTGGCATCACCTTCACCTCCAATCATTATAAAAACTGGTCCATTTTGTTTATAAAATTCGTCATTCACAAAATATCTCTAAAAAATTTTTTCTTTATTTTACTAAAACTATATTTCTTTATTTTTATTTATCCCACGTTATATTTAGGAAAAAAAATTATTATAGGCACAAATAAAATTATTATCTGAACCAAATAAAAATTATCTGAATTAAATAAAATTTATTTGAAACCAGGAAAATTTATTTGAACCAAACAAAATTTATTTTGAACCAAACAATATTTATTTGGAACAAAATAAAATTTTATTGAAACAAAAAAAATTTATTTGAACCAATAAAAAATTATCTGAACCAAATAAAATTTATTTGAAACCAGGAAAATTTATTTGAACCAAACAAAATTTATTTTGAACCAAACAATATTTATTTGGACCAAAATAAAATGTTATTGAACCAAAAAAAATTTATTTCAACCAATAAAAAATTATCTGAACCAAATAAAATTTATTTGAAACCAGGAAAATTTATTTGAACCAAACAAAATTTATTTGAACTAATAAAAAATTATCTGAACCAAATAAAATTTATTTGAAACCAGGAAAATTTATTTGAACCAAACAAAATTTATTTTGAACCAAACAATATTTATTTGGAACAAAATAAAATTTTATTGAACCAAAAAAAATTTATTTGAACCAATAAAAAATTATCTGAACCAAATAAAATTTATTTGAAACCAGGAAAATTTATTTGAACCAAACAAAATTTATTTTGAACCAAACAATATTTATTTGGACCAAAATAAAATGTTATTGAACCAAAAAAAATTTATTTCAACCAATAAAAAATTATCTGAACCAAATAAAATTTATTTGAAACCAGGAAAATTTATTTGAACCAAACAAAATTTATTTTGAACCAAACAATATTTATTTGGACCAAATAAAATTTTATTGAACCAAATAAAATTTTATTGAACCAAATAAAAATTTTTTGAACCAAGCAAAATTTATTTGAACCAAATAAAATTTTATTGAACCAAAAAGAATATTTTGTGAACCAAACAAAATTTATTTGAACAAAAAAAAAAATTTTTTTTGAACCAAATAAAAAGTTTAATGGATGCATATTTTTATTTTCTGGACATTTAAAAATAATTTAATTATTAATTTACTTGTTGCCATTTTCTGGCGTCCGTTGGATTGGAATGATCAAGATTTTGTGTAAACCATTGTTCCTCGGGTAAATTATATTCCCTGCTGAGAATCGGTGCACCCAAATTTCCATATTTACTTCTACCACGTAAAAATGTTCGCCAAGCTGTTCCGCAATTTAGCAAAATTGCAATAAATGAGAATAGTAATAGAATTCTCATTTTTAATTTTATTATAAATAGAGTTCTTCAGAACGTGGTAATTTTTTTGATAACTAAATGACCTGTAAATATATTTTTAAATATTACTGGACCACCTCTTATCAATGTATTGATAACGAAACAATTTTTTTTTTGATTCGACATTTAATTTAAATAAGAGTCTATTTAATTAAATATTACTTAATTATTTTAATTAAATAAATTATTTCAATTTTATTCAATTAAATCGATTCAAAATTTAGTTCAAAAACTCAGAAGAAATCTTAAAGTAAATTTCAATAAATTCTTCAAAAAATCATAAAGAAATTTTTGAAAAAACTAAGTCTCTTTCTTTTTGCTAATAGTAACAAATACTCTGGAATAAATAAAAATAATTGAAATAAAAATAAATAAATAATAATAGTAGCAGCATTTTTTTTAATAGTTATTATTAGTATTAATATTATTATTATTATTATTATTATTATTATTAACAACTATACTCATTATTATTATTATAAAAATAAAAATAGTAATAATCATACTAATAACAAAAATTCTTGCTATAATTAAAATATTTTTTAATTAAAAATATAATAGAAATTTTTAACAAAGACTTTTCCCAGCAGATAAGCAACGGTCAACGTTTTGTGTTTCAATGTATTCATCGTAATCACATACTATTTGCATGATTGAAGAAAAAAATTCAATTAAAAAAAGTTCAATTGATAAATTTGTGAAGAATGCTTTAAGATAATTACGCAGAATAATTATTATCATAGAACTAACTTCAAGTCTTATGATTTTAAGAACAATAATATTATAAGAAAATTGAAAAATAAATAGAAAAAAAATATAAAATAATAAAATAAAAATAAATTAAAAAAATTCTTATACAAAAATATAAATAATAATTTATGCATTATAAACACCAAATTGCAATTAAAATATAACAATATTTATATTATATTATAATTTTCCATTTTTACTATATAATCGTAATTTTTTATTCAAAAACAAATAAAATGTAAAAAAGAAATAAAAATAAAAAATTGTTGATAAAAAATTAATACCAAAAGGAAATATAATAAATATTTTTTTCAAATGTAAAATACAACTTTTGGTTAATTATTAGAAGTAATTTTATATAATTTATTATTGTAAATTAATTTTTTGAGAAATATTGTATAAATGACAAATTTTGTGGTACTTACAATTAAAAATCGGCGTTTTTTCCAATTAAAAATTGATTTTCAAAGTAAATTTTTAAACAGAAAGATAGAAAACTTTGCGGGAGCATCAACTGTGCATTTTACTATAATGCTCCTCTGACAGAAATCTGGTCGAAAGGAGCAAGCTCAGCACAACATGTGTTCAGGGCCGTCACAAGTTAAACAAAAAATTTCATACATTTGGAACAGTGATGTAGAAGTAAAAAAAATTATTTAAAAATCAAAATTTTTCCCGTTTTTAGGCGGAGAAAATGAAAATTTTCTTTAAAATTGCGATTAAACGGCATTAATATAAAAATTGTTAAAAAAAATCCACAATAATTATTAACTTTTACATCCGCTAGAATATTAAATAAATAAATAAATAATCATTTGGTGGTAAAGTTCTAAAAAAATTTTTTTGTTTTTAATTTTATTAAATATTTATAACATTTGGAATTAATATATTATATTAGTTTTATGTTTTTCAAAAAAATGAAAAATTATTCATTCAGACAAAAAAGTTACTAAATTGTTCTTGTCATTGTTAGTAGGTATAATTTATTTGTATTTAATTTAATATTGTAAAAAAAACTTTTTTCAAATTAAGAAAATATTTTTTAAGATGAATTACAAAATTTTGATGCTTCTCTTCAAAATAAATCTTCTATTTGAGATTATATTGTTCTTAATTATATCATATTTTTTTAATTATTTTGTAAACAAAATTTTGAATGTTTTCTTCAAAATAAATTTTCAATTTTGAATTTTTCCTTCAAAATAAATTTTCAATTTAAAATTTTCTCTTCTATAATCTCTAATCTTCTATAATTATTGTCTTTATTAAATAATTAAATAAATAGTCGATGGAAAAATTGCAAAAAAAATTAAAAATAAATAAATGTTTTATAAACAAAATTGAAAGAATAACAAAAAAATATTTGACAAAAAAAAATTGAGAAAAGTGAAAATAAATAAAAATTTGATTGCAAAAAATTGAAATAATTGAAAATCAAGAAGCGTATTTTCCTTATAATAAAAACAGAAAATAAACAAATATATTTGTTTAAAAAATTGAACAAAATTAATATTTGCTGGAAATATTTGAAAGAATTGAAAAAAGCGAATTATTCTTTTTTTTAGAATAAAAATTGAAAATTAAGAAATATTTATTGGAAGTATTAAAAATAAATCAATATTTGCTGGAAAAATTTAAAATAATTGCAAATAAATCAATATTTGCTGGAAAAAATTTGTAATAATTGAAAATAAATAAATATATGCCTAAAAAAATTTGAAAGAACTGAAAATAAATAAATATTTTATCCAAAAATTGTGAAAGAATTGGAAATATAAATACATATTTAATAGAAAATTTGAAAATAAATTAATATTTTTTAGAATAATTTAAAACAATATTGAAAATCAAGTTTAGCTTATTATTATTTTCTTTATAATAAAAATTGAAAATAAACACAAATATTTGCTGGAAAAATTGAAAGAATTGAAAATGAATATTTCATATAGAAAAATTGATAATAAATAAATAATTGAAAATAAATAAATATTTAGGTAATGGAAAATTGGAAAATAAATAAACATTTGTTGCAATATTTAAAAGAACTGAATATTATTAATAGAAAAATTGAAAATGAATATTTAATATAGAAAAATTGATAATAAATAAATAATTGAAAATAAATAAATATTTAATGGAAAATTTGTAAAATAAATGAATATTTGTTTAAAAATTTAAAAGAACTGAATATTTATAAATATTTAATAAAAAAATTGAAATAATTGAAATAAATATTTAATAATAAAATTGAATGAATTGAAAATGAATATTTGATAAAGAAAAATTAAAAATAAATATATATATATATATATTTAATGGAAAATTTGTAAAATAAATAAATATTTATTTAAACATTAAAAAGGGCTGAATATTAATAAATATTTAATCAAAAAAATTGAATGAATTGAAAACAAATATTTAATGAAAAAAATTGAAAGAATTAAAGCACAGAAAAATTAGAAATAATTGAAAATAAATAAATTTTTAACAGAAAATTAGAAAATTCGAAAATAAATAAATATTTACTGGTAAAATTCAAAAGAATAAGGTATTATAAATCAAGAAGCGTAAAATATCAGATTTCAAGCTCTAAAAAGAAATATCTTGACGAAGGTAAAGGAGGGGGAAAAAAATCATTGTCAAATTATTTTTTCTTGTTTGATCCTCGCGAGCAGGCACACGACCCATTAATACAAAACATAAGGCGCATTTTTTGGGATATATCAGCCGGCAGAAATGATGATGATGATGATGATGAGAGAGAGAGATAGAGAGGAAGGGCGGGCGCGGCGGCAGGCAACCCCAATGCAAGAGTATGAGGCGCGTGGGGGCTTAACTTATGTATATACCTGCTGGCCTCGTGTCGGCGAACACCTGCTCCACCAACGGTTACCCCGGGTCCAGCCGGCCCTTTGTCCAACCGCCACTAATATAAAGCCCATTCCAAAGACTCACGAGTTGCCAGTCAACTTTTAAAGCTTCGCGTGTCAACATCGTGAAATTTCGCGATTTTCCTCTCACACTCTCACTCTCTTATTCACGTTTTTCTAATGTGTCATTTCGTAAAGTGACAAGAGGCACGTGTCAACGAAAAAAAATTTAGTGAAACTTGTTTTTTTTCGACAATTTTTCAAAGGAGACAATTATTTTTTCTCATTATGGAAATTTTTTTGTGTTTGGTGACATTAATTGTCACTGGATTCGTCACTGCTCAGGAGTCATCAGCATCATCGTCAGGAATTGATCTTGCGAGTACTGTGAAACTACTTCAGGAGCAGGTCAGCGCACTTCTTGAGCATCGACAAGAGGAGTATAATGCTCTTGAGGAAAGTCTCAAGAGGGCCATGGAGAAGAATACAGAACTCATTGTTTTGAAGAATGAAGTTAAATTTTTGAGGTATTTAGTCTTTCTCTTTTTTTATTTTTTGTATATTTTTATTATTTCTATTTTTTACGATATGTATTTTTTTTTAGTTTTTGTTTATTTTGATGTATTTATTTATTTATTTTTATTTATTTTATTTGTTATTAATTAAATTAATTTTTTAATTAATTAAAGCAAATTTAAGTATACAAACAAATTTGATTAATTAAAGCAAATTCAAGTATACAAACAAATTTGATTAATTAAACCAAATTCAATAATACAAACGAATTTAATGCAAATAAATTCAAGCAATTGTTGCAAAATTAAATAATAAAATTAAATTCAATAATTGAAATAAAAGAAACTGATCAAAAATAATAAATATGAATACTAATGAGAATAGAAAGTATAGGAATACTAATTATTTGCAGGAAAATTCGTAATATCAGTATAGAAATATTAATTAGAATAGGAAGTATAGGAATTCAAAATAGAATAAGAATACTAATTATTATCAGGAAAATTTAAATTATTAGTATAGAAATACTATTTAGAATAGAAATACTATTTAGAATATGAAGTATAGAAATAGAAACTAAAATAGAAAATATAGGTATAGAAACTAGAATAGGAATACTAATGAGAATAGGAAGTATAGGAATAGAAACTAGAATAGAAATACTAATGATAATAGGAAGTATAGGAATAGAAACTAGAATAGGAATACTAATTATTATAGGAGGAAAATTCGTAATATCAGTATAGAATAAATACTAATTAGAATAGGAATACTAATCACTTTTTTACTTATAGTAATACTAATTCCTATAGATTAAAATTAAACTGAATTGATTTAATTCGATTGCATTTATAGTAAATGTTTGCAGTAATTGTTAATAAGTTTGTTGCAAATTTCTTTTCTATTTATTTACATATTTACGGAAATTAAAATGCAGTGAACAAAGTGTGAATTTAAACCGTTTAACATTCTTGCGTCTTTGAAATATTATCCCTTAAGGTAACGAGTTATACATATCTATTTCACTTTTGCATATGCGATTTTCATCCTGAACACGCATTATTCTGTATAATTAAATTTGTACATTTTAGAATATTTAGTTTCTTCTGAAAATAATTAAAATTAATATTTCTCTTCATTAATTTTTCTTACACTAACAAATTAATTAATTAATCTGAATTAAAAATTAATTAAAAATATTGCAAGCTTTTCCAGGAAATAAAAATCGAAGTAAATTGATTAAAAAACAGGACTGTTTAAATTGAGAAAATGGAAACTTTTTTAAAAATATTAATTTAGTATTAATAATTCATCATTATTGATAATTTATTATTATTAATTAATTAGTAATTACTATTATTTTGTTAATAATAAATAATATTATTAATATTATTATTTTTATATTATTAATAATAGTGCCTAATAATAATTCTCTAAAGAATTAGTAAATTTTAGTAATAAATTAGTAGAAATTACTATTTATTAGTAAAACTATTTGCTATTTAGTATTTATTAATTCGAAAGCAAAAACTAATTCAAATTAGTAAACATTTTTAGTTTTACTAATTCAAATTTAGAGAGTAATAATAATAAAGTACTAACTTAATAATTATTTTTATTTCCATATAAAAATTAACAATACCTAATTAAAATTAAGTATGACCTTAATTTCTTATTAAATATATTTAATTATTAAAAATATATTATCTACAAAAGGAGATGCAATGAAATAAATTATTATTATTTATTATTATTATTAAAGATACTATTAAACAAGTTCTTTTCCTAAAACAAAAATAAAATAAATTTTAGAGAGAAAATTCAAAGTAGTATTAAAATTGTCAATGTTTGCGAATACAAAATAAAACTATTTATTATTAATGACATAATTAACTCGTTAAATATTTATTTTTTCCATATAAAGGAAAAAAGAAGAAGAAGAACAAGTAGAAGGAGAAAAAAAATAACTTGCAATTCATTACTGTTAACTTCACTTTCCTTTGCTTGAGAATAATTCATTTCCAGCTTTCACTGCACAAAGTCACTGGATAATTGTCCTCCTTTAAACAACTTTATCATTTTTATATTTTCGTTATTCCCTTCTTCTGCTTTTGCTAATTACTGAAGTTTCTAAAGAAAAGTCGTCTACAGTAATTTTTATCCCCCTTCTAAAAAAAAAACAAAAAAAAAAAAAAACAACAGGTAATAAATATTACTAAGAGAATAATTTTAATTAATTTCAACCCTTTTTTTAATGTATAGAAATTTTTAATTTATTCTTTTAAATTAATTCGATAGTAATTACTGATTATACTCAATTAGTTATCAACTAAACTGAACTAATCAGTTATTATACTAACTATAGTAACTAATTACTAAATTTATTAATTAATTACTAAAACTGTAGTAACTAAGTACTAACTATATTAAATTAATTACTAACTATACTAAACTAATTACTAATTTTACTAAATTAACTACTAATTAAACTTTACTAATTACTAACTATATTAAATTAATTACTAACTATACTAAACTTATTACTAACTATACTAAATTAACTACTAATTAAACTTTACTAATTAAACTTAACTAATTACTAACTATATTAAATTGATTACTAACTACACTAAACTGATTACTAATTATACTGAATTAATTAGAAATTAAACTGTACTAATTTCTTATTATACTAAACAAATTATTAACTATGCTAAGAGCCAGTTTCACCAACTTCCGATTGAAAGTTAATCAATGATTAAAGACAGTTTAAAGGCTTCTGATTGGTTAATTGAAGATTTAATCATTGATTAACTTTTAATCGGTATTGGTGAAATCAGCCATTATGATACTAAACTAATTACTAATTATATACTAATTATACTAAATTATATTGAATTACTTACTAAATATACTAAACTGATGATTAGTTACAATAAATTAATTACTAACTTAACTGTACTAAACAAATTACTAATTAATTGCTAACAAAAAATATTTCTTCAGTATGCCAAGGCTACTTAAACAATTGTTATTATATTGGTACCTATTTAATTTAATAACATTGTAAATATTTAGTTATTTTACTAAAAAGAGTACATTTTGTATTCTTTTCTTTTTTCATATTTTTTTCTTTTCTCTTTTTGCATTTTTTTCTATTCATTTTTTTTTTGTATTTTTCATTCCATCATTTTTTTCGTATTGTTTTTTCTTTATTGTTTTTGTACGTATTGTTTTTCCAATTAATTTTCTTTTTCAATTACACATTTCATTTGCAATTACGACTCAAATTTCTCAATATACATTTCAAACGCAAATACTCCCCTTCTTCTTCTTTCCAATATTAAAAAAAAAAAAAACATTTTTTTTTTATCCGCGCACGCTAATTTAATCGCATATAATACATATCCTGATGTTTTGAAATACTGCGGAAATGAAAGGGGGGTGAGAGAGAAAGAGAGAAGTTTATTATGCCCCGCGGGGCCTTATAGAGAATAAATTTTTTTTTTTTTCCTCTTTTAAATTTAAAGTAGGGCGTTGAGGGACCGATTTTGCGGACAGCCGCAAGACGGCCTTCGTCATTAATATACACATATATAGTCGCGTGCTGAGGGAGTAATTCATTTTATATACACATATATATATATGTATATTTAGTTATTTACCAACCCTATTTTTACAGAAAGGAAGTGAATATCCTGCGGGGCGGAAGTAGCAACGAGGCGAAGAACGAGAGATTGAGGGTCCGATGGTTGGGCAGTGCCGTGACGGAATTACAAAGCGAATTGGCCGAGGTCCTTAGATCGAGAAATACAAGTGAAGAATTTATCGAAAGATCAAGAATGAGAAGTGAAATTGTTTTATTGAGAAGTGATGTGGCCGAAGTGGGCCGCGGTATTCGCGATATGGGGGTGAGAATGACAAGTCTTGAGGCGTCATTTGGAACTGTTCGCATGGACATTGCTGCTGTCAAGGAGCGTGTCAGTCAATTGTCGAGGACCTGCGCCGACGTCAGTAGTCAGGTTTGTATTTTTATTATTTCAAAAAAAAAATTTTTTTTTAATTTCTTAAAGTTTAATCTTAAATTTTCTTAAATTTTAATTAATTTTTTGCTCCAATTTTGATTTTTTAATAAAATGGTGGTTTTATTTCTCCACTTGAGAACGTCAAGGTCACCACTAGGTGGCAGAAAAAATTCCAAGAAGTGACTTAACTGCCATCTAGCGGTGACCTTGGCGTTCGCAGGTGGAGAATAGCAGCTCCATATTGAATCTCAAAGTTTTCGTCAATATTTACAATTCTTTAATTATTTTTTAATTATTCTTTATTCAGACATTGAATCTAGAAAGTATAACAATTAATAAAAGCGAATTATTAGTGTCCTAATTATTACAATGTAATAATATTAGTAATTAACTATAAATTAAAATTGAGTGGAAAAAAATTAATTAGTCATTGTTTATAATTTAAAATTGAGTAGAAAAAAATTAGTAATTAATGATAAATTAAAATTGAGTGGAAAAAAATGAGTAAAAATTAATTATTCATTGATTATAAATTAAAATTGAGTAGAAAAAAATTAGTAATTAATTATAAATTAAAATTCAATGGAAAAAAATTAGTAATTAGTTATTATAAATTAAAATAGAGTGGGAAAAAAATTTCTATATTGTGTAAGAAAGAAAAATGGGAAAAATACCTGAAAGTACTTGAATTTCGTAAATTTTGAATAGAGACGATTTTAAGAGGAATTGAGGGAGAAAATTAGTAATTCAAAAGATGGGAATCGGGGAGAATTTCAGAAAACAATTTTTCGTCGTCTCTTCTTCTATAATACACGGGAAATTTGATCTGAATCTCATAAGACAAATGGTTCATATAACGCCGCTTGAAAATCTCTTTCTTGTTAAAGAGCACGGAATCTTTTTTTTTGTGAGGGAAGGATGAGCGCGCGGTTCGCTTTTAAAAGAATTTTTCGACAAAACAACCAAATTATTCACGGCAATAAATTCGGTATTAAAGGAAAAAATTTTCTTTGTAAGACACAATTTCAAAAGTAATTTAAAAAGAAAAATTTTAATTTTAAATTTAAAAAGAAAAAATACTTTCAACTATAAATAAAATAATAATAGCGATAAAATTAAAAAAAAGGAAAAGAAACAAAAATTTAGTGGAGAAATAATAAAAATTGATAAATAGAAAAAGAAATAATAAAAATTGTTAAATAGAAAAAGAAATAATAAAAATTGATAAATAAAGAAAAGTGGAAGTAGAAAAGCAAAAAAAGGAAAGAAAATAAAAGATCAAACGATAAAAAAATAAAATAAATAAAAATACAAAAAGGCAAAAAAAATTAAGCAAATAAAAAAGCAGAGAGCAAAAAAACGAGAGGAATAAAAAGAAGAAAGCGAAAAAACGATAAGAATAAAAAACAAAAAAGGGAAAAAACGAAAGGAATAAAAAACAAAAAAGGGAAAAAACGAAAGGAATAAAAATCAAGAAAGGGAAAAAACAAAATAAATACAGGAAACTGATAAAAATAAAAGAGATAGAAAAGCAAGAAAAAACCAAAAGGAGTAAAAAACAAAAAAGCAAAAAAACGAAGGGAGTAAAAAACAAAAAGTGTAAAAAATAAAATAATAAATAAAGAAAATGAAAAATCAAAACAAGAATAGCAAATAATTCAAATTAAAAACATTTCAAAGAAAAATAGAAATAAATTTAAAACTAGAAAAAGAAATGGAAATACGAAAAAAAATAAATTATAGATAATAAATAATAAATAAAATAAATAATAATAAATGAAATAAATAAAAAAAATAATAAAATACAAAATAATAAATAATAAATAATAAAATAAATAACAAATACGTGAAATAAAAAATTGAAACCGAAAAATAAAACCAAGAGAAAGTGCGCAAATGTATAGAAATAAATTAATGCAAATTTTTTCCGGAGATTCAAATGCAAGATATATAGATATGTTTAAATTAAGCGTCAAAAAAATCAGTTTTTTTTCATTTTTTTTGCAATATTTATAACATAGAGATAACAACGACATAGTTTCGTTTTTTTTATATATTTATATACTAAAAACGTGCTGAAGCTTAAATAATGAGGAGGGAAGAAGGTCTGCGCGCAAAACTGCAATCAAGATGCAGGCAGGTGCAAGAGCAACGCGCACACACATTTTTTTAAAAAAAGGTATAAAAATGTGTGCGTCACATATATATACATATATTTTTATATACGTGTATATATCGTAATCTCTTGGATCGCATCCAATGCAGAGTATTCCGAATCTTCCAAATGTTTTGTCTCCATACAACAAAATATTTATTTTGTTGAAAAATAAAAAGCGAATGTTATTAAGCAGTAAAGCCTAAATGTTTTATACAAATATTTTCGTTTTCTTTGCCCTCGCACAAGGAATTTAACACCTTTTTGGAATTAAAAATTAAATTCATCAAAATTATAAGTATAGGGATATTTTTTTTCAATTCTATTTTCTATTTTTGGTGGAATTGGATTTTATTTTCTATTTTGTTTCATTTATTTTATTTTTTGGTTTCATTAATTTTATTTTTTATTGATGTATTTCTTCTCCTCTGCCCTTTTAACTTAATTAAATTTATTTAAATTAAGTTAAAATTCAATTTAAATTTAATTAATTTAATTAATTTCAATTTAAATTCAATTTAAAAAATTAAGTTTAATGTTTAATTAAATTCATTCCTTTAGTAGATATTTATTATTATAAACAATATTTAATAATATTATAAACAAGGCCTTATTCACTGTCCAACAAATAAAATTATAAATAAGTAAAAAAAATAAAATTAAAAAGAAAAACCATAATGCGAAAGCATTATGGTTTTTCTTTTTAATTTTATTTTTTCTACTTATTTATAATTATATATATAATAAAACCAATACAAAAAAAAATATATTCGATTCAACGGAAATTCTACAAGAATCATTCATTTTTAAAATTTAAATTGAAGAAAACGAAGAGGGGAGCCTCAAAAAATCAAAGAAAATCACCACAAAGAATCAAAAATTAAAATAAAATTTCCCTTCTCGAGACCCCTCTTGATTGTGAAAAATTCTTTTTCTAAGAATTCACCTGAAAATGTATAATATTATATAAAAGACATTTGTCGATCGAAGGATAATAGAAATAAATTTTGATTTGAAAAGAAATGCGCGCAAAGGGACCGCTCTCTTATAATATTATACACAAAAGACAACATATTGTTCAGGGGGCCCCAAAAAAATTCCAATCAAATTTTTTCAAATGACGAAAAAAGAGAATCGAAAATAAATATAATTTTACATGAAGCGTAAAATGACGATATTTATTATTTATTTTTTTTAATTATATGACATTTATTTTAAATTATTGTTTTTTCTAAATAAAAAATTAATTTTTACTGAATAAATAATTAATTTCTTATTTTTCAAATTCAGTTCATTAATTTTTCAAAATAGTGGAACACTAAAAAGTATTCCGTTCATTTAAACGTTCAAATTTTTAGGGAAATCAAATATTTATTTATTTTATTTAAGAATAATAATTAATATAATAATAATTATTAATAAATAATAATATTATTATTACATTATTAATTTTTATTCATTATCATTTTTTTAATTGTTTATTTATTATTATCATAAATATTAAAAATTACTATCGACTTTTGTTTATTTTATTCTTTTTTTTTGAATTTATTTTATTTATTTCTGTTTAAAGTGTATTTTCCAAGCAAATTTTGACCAAACTCAAGACAAAAATGCTATAAAATAAATTAACCGAGTGATAGTTGCGCATATAGGAAAACGACAGGTGCATTGGGTCAGAAGTTGGGGGGTGAGGGCATTGAATGGTCTTGGCTCGTGAGGTAATACCGCAACAGAAAAAGAGAGAGAGAGAGAGTCAAAGTCGACTTCGACTACTCTCTTGAGTGCCCATACGAAACAAGAAGAAGAAGAAGAAGAAGAAGAAGGGAAAAGAATGAGAGATGAATATATATATACGACAGGCAAAGGAAAAAAAAGAAAGTGAGGGCCGACTGAAACACGATTGAGAGGGGGAGGAGAAGGAGGAAGAACCTGGAAAAAGTGGGGGAATATTTGCGGCAGCTGCTAGCCGCCAAAACGACAAACAGATATTAACACGGTTGCCCGCTTGTTACCTTCTGTCCCGCAGGTGCAAGCCCTCAAATAATGGACATACGTTAATATTTATAGAGATATGAGACATTCAGCCAAGGGCAATTTTCGACCCGCATCCTCCCCCCACCCTTCTTCTATTTTTTTTTTTTTTTTTTTTTTTTTTTTTTTTTGAAGAAAAATATATCTTGATAAAAATTTTCATCTTATTAAGGATCGTTATTATTTCTTATCCGCTCAGCTTCCTTTTCTTACGTCAGAATAATGCCCGAGTTTTCACTTCGAAAGTTCTTTTTCATCATTATTATTTTTATTATCATTCTTATTATTATTATTTTATTAATATTATTGATAATTGATAATATAATAAATTAATAAATAATAAATTCAATAATTGTTATCATCATATTATTTATTTACTATTCTATTTTAATAGTAAATAATTATTAAAATAGCATAGAAATTTTATACTAAATAATAATCATAATAATAAATAATTCGCTTAATAATAATTTTCATAATAAATATTTAATTATTAATCGATAACTAAATAATTTTTGACGAAGAATTGACGTCAATAAGCAATAACAATTAGTTCATTATTTAAACTAATTTAGAATTTTTTTAAAATTATTTTAATTATTTTTTATTAATAATTTTATTATTTTTGAACAATATTTAATTTTTGCTAAAGAATATTATTACTCTTGAAAATAATTGAATTTCTGCAATAATTTGTAACTTTTACAAAATTAAATTTTTTTTCGTGGTTTTTAACTAAAATTCTTCTATTTAAATATTTATGCATTATTTCTTGAAAAATTTTTGAAAAAGTTTATTGAGAATTTTCAAATTTATTTGTTTTTATAAAATTCAATTTTACAAAATTTCAATTATTTGTAAATTTTTCAATTAAATATATATTAGAAAATAAAAACTTCAAATAATTTCCATCAAAAAAAAAAAAAATCCGCAATTGAACCTTCTGAAAAAAATTAATTCCATCGAATTATTTGTTCAAAATAAAAAAAATTCAGGTTTTCAAAGATTTTAATTTGAAACTTTTTCAAAATTCAATTATTTCTAAAAATTCACGCTCGATGCTTTTAATATTCAAATTATAATCTAAAATTTTAACTGAAATTCATTTTTATGAAATGAAAATCAATTTTTATTAGAAAATTCTACTAGAATTAAATTATTTAAATAGAAAAGAAAACAATTTATTGAATAATTGCATGTTTCTTAAAATTTAATTCTCATAAAGAATTTTATAAATAAATTTTCAAATAATTGAATTCTTGTGAAATTTTTATTATTTTATGAAAATAATTAAAGTTTTGCGTAGAATTTTATTAACATTTTTTTTTAAATAATTGAATTCTTTTGGAAAATTTTATTAAAATAGTAGATATTAAAAATCATTGAATTCAGAAACATTTTTGAAAATAATTGAAATTTTGAAAAGGAATTTTATTAAAATTTTTGAAAATAATTGAATTTCAGAGGAGAATTTAATTATATTTTTAAAAATAATTGAAATTTTTGCAATAATTTAAAAAAAATTTTTTGAATATAATTGAATTTCTGCGAAGAATTTTATTACTTTTGAAAATAATTGAATTTGTGCAATATTTAAGTTATACAATTTAAAAAATTTTCGTCTTATTTTCTCAATCAAATTACGGACATTTTTTCAAAAAACTGACTTTTATGGACTCCAAGCAAATTTACGGACCTAATTCGAGCCCTGAATTTAAATATTAAATTTAATAAATAATGTTAAAAATATTACTTTAAATATTTACAATTAATTAAAAGTTAATTAAAAGTTATTAAATTGAAATTAATATAACTTTGGTATGAAATTTTATTTTTTTTTAAATTAAATAATTAAGTTATTAAATTTAATAAATAATAGCTATTAAAAATATTATTTAATAAATATTTTCCTCTCCAATTTGTCATTTATTATAATAACATTATAATAATTACATTATTCGAAGTAATTTGAAATTAAATGCGGGATGAATGGAATTTTTTCGTGTGTAATAACGAACAACTTGGCAGCTGAATTGCTTCTATGCACCGCAAACACGTATAAAATTTCGCACCACATTCTTGTGCACTTTACGATAAAATTGATATTAAGAGTGGAACTTGAGTTGCTCCTTGGTTATTACATGCAAGGTGCTTGCAATTTGTTCATTGTTCCGAAAATACATTCAAGGGGTCACACGAACCAGAATTTTTAGGGTTTCCCATGTTTTTTTTCGCACTCTTAATTATACAATATTAGTTTTTATTTCGCTCAGGCATTTTTTTTTCACCCTTCGATTTTAATTTCTGTCGAATTTTGTGTATTTTTATTTTTTTTTTTCCTTCAATTTTTTCTTCTTTCGTTGAAATTTTTTTCTCGATTTAATTTTTCTTTCATTCAATTTTTATTCTTGTCATTAAAATTTTATTTTATTATTTTTCTCTCACTTAATTTTTATTCCCCTTTCCTTTAATTGATTCATTCGATTTTTTAATTTGATTTTTATTAAAAAAAGTCAATTTTGAAAAATTCTATTCTTCTTTTAGTCTTTTATTTTCCCGTTAGATAATTTTTGCGAATTTTGTTTTTTTATTGTATTTTAGTTTTTCTTTCATTCGATTTTATTTATTTTTTTAAATAAAAATTAATGCTAATAAAAATTCTTTTCTCCCTTTCGGTTGATTGCAGTCCTTTATTCTACTTTCATTTAATTTCATTCATTTTTATTTTATTTTTCCTCTCATTAAATTTTTATTCCGCACTTTCATTTTAATTTGATTTTTATTTTTAAAAAAATTGACTTTTAAATAGTAATAAAAATTCGTCTCTTTCCTTTTTGTTTGCAGTTGAGTACAGTGCAAATGGAAATGAAATCAACAAAATACGAGCACAATTCGGAGCAGAAACTCAATCATCATCAACTTTCACGGAACGAAATTCAAATTGACTCGAAACGCTCCTCACATCATACACGTCATTCCTTCTCGCGACTGCCAACAACTCTTCGTCATTTTGAAGAGCGTCTCGGTAATTTGGAGCACAAAATTGCCGTTGTGGCGAGAAAAAAATCTGTCGTTGAAAAACGTGTTGTATTCGAGGATCAAGCCGATTTATTTAATCGAATTGAGAAACTCGAGAATCTCGAGCAAGATTTGTCCCGTCGTGTTTTTAATGTCAGTCAAGATGTCATTGAATCGAGAAAATTGAGCGAATCAATGGTTCAATTATTCGAGTCTGTCGAGACACTTGAGGATAAATTTGAGACAAATCAATCCGACGCGAAACGTGAAATTGCCCGCTTGGATGTGAATGCAGCGAGAAAAGCCGCTGAATTATCATTGACACGTGAGGAATTGGGCAATTTGAAGAAAGCCGTTCAGGCATTGAGCGTTAGCGCTTCAAAATTACAGGAGAAAAGCGATCAGCAACATGAGGCAATTGTTAATTTGACGTCGTCATTGGGGAAAATTGATTTGGATCGCACTATCGATAAGGCCAGTAATATCACCAAGGAACTCGAACACGTCGAAGATCAGTACAGGTGAGTCTTGTTTTTTGATACAAAAAATTTTTTTCCCTTTTTTTCCAATTGTAAATTTTTCCTCTTCGACGACTGTTCGGCTGCAACAAAAATTTTGATTTTACTCTTCCCTGATTTCCAGAAAGAATTTTCATTTCTTCCCTGGTCCTATAAAGAATATTTTATTATCCTCTAAAAATAATTTGCAAACACAAAAAAAGCACTGAAAAAAATTCATTTCACTCAAATAACCGCAATTACTCGTATATTATCAAATAAATATTAACTTCACTGAAGTAACTTTTATTTGTGTCAATGAAAAGATATTTGCTTCAAATAAATTTCATTTGAGTCAATTAAATGATATTTGCTTCAAATAAATTATATTTGACTCAATTACATAATATTTGCTTCAAATACTGAAATTATTGGTTCAAATACAATATTTATTTGACTTAAATAAAATTTATTTGATTCAAGTATAAATATATTTTTTTTTATAATAGACAAATAAAATCTGTTATTTGAATCAAGTAAATATTTTTTTCGAATATCTTTAATTGTAAAATTATTAAAAACTAAATTTTTATTATCAATAGATTTTTTATTCTAAATTTTTAACTAAAATTCTTCTCTAAATCAATTATTTTTAATAATTGTTTGAGAAAGTTTCTTGTGAATTCAATTTATTTATTATTTATTAGATAAAAAAAATTTACTTTTAAATTATTTTTGAAATCAGCTTATTTACAATTGAATTTTATGAAATTTTAACAATTTTGTAAACTTGTTAATTTTTCTACGAAATATTAAAAATATTTTAAATAAAATTCTACTAAAGCTCAACTAACTTTGAAAAAATGTTAATAATTTAGTTCTTGCATTGAATTTTATTAAAATTTTTGAAAAAATTGAATTTTCTTGAAGAATTTAATGGAAATTTTTATAAATAACGAAATTCTCTCGAGGAATTCAATTATAATTGCATTGAAAATAATTCAATTCTAATAAAGACTTTTATGGAAATTTTTCAAAATAATTTTCAATCCCTCTGAAGATTTTTACTATTTATGAAAATAATTGAATTTCTGCGAGGAATTTTATTCAAATTCATGAAAATGATTGAATTTTTTTGAGAAATTTTATTTAAATTTTATTTTATATAATTGAATTTCTGCGAAGAATTTTTCAATTTATAAAAAAGATTATAAATTGATAAAATTGTAAAGATTTTTATGAAAATTGTTGTAAATAATTTAATTATTTTGAAGAATTATTTCAAAATTTTTCTTTGTATGTCCTCTGAAGGTTAATATAATAATATAATAAATTTTGAGAAAATTTATTAAAATTGTAATTGAAATAATTGAATTTTTTGGGAATAATTTTTCAGTTTAAGAAAATTTTAAGAAAAATTTCAGTTAATTTTGCAAAAATTTGATTATTTTTACAAATAATTAAGTTTTTGTGCAAAAATTCAATTATTTTCATGAATTTTAAAAAAATTCTTGGTAAGAATTCAATTATTTTTGTAAATAAAAAAATTCTTCGCAAAAAATCAATTATTTTCATGAATTTTAATAAAATTCTTGGTAAGAATTCAATTATTTTTGTAAATAAAAAAATGCTTCGCAAAAATGCAATTATTTTCATGAATTTTAATAAAATTCTTAGCAAAAAATTCAATTCTCTTCAAAAATAATAAAATTCTTTTACAAATTTCAATTATTTTCATGAATTTTGAAAAAATTCTTAGCAAAGAATTCAATTATTTTCAGAAATAATAAAATTCTTTGACAAATTTCAATTAATTTCATAAATTTTAATAACATTCTTGGCAAATAATTCAATTATCTGCAGAAATAATAAAATTATTCGTAAAAAATCAATTATTTTTATAAATAACAAAATTTCTTTTCAAAAATTCAATTATTTTCATGAATTTTAATAAAATTCTTTGCTAAGAATTTCTTCTTATTAAGATTTTTATTAAAATTATATTCAAAATAATTGAATTCATCTAAAGAATTTTATTATTTATGAAAATAATTGAATTTTTGCGAAGAATTTTTCAATTTAAGAAAATAATTGAATTCGTTTTAAGATCTTTATTTCTCATTTATGAAAATAATTGACTTTTTGCAAATTTTGTCAACGACTTTTGTTAAAATTGTATTTAAAACAACTGCATTTCTGCGAAGAATTTTTCAATTTAAAAAAAATAATTGAATTCGTTTTAAGATTTTTATTTCTTATTTTGCAAAAATTCAATTATTATTTTTATAGATAATAAAATTTCTCTGCAAATATTCCATTATTTTCGCTAATTTTAATGAAATTCTTGGCAAAAATTGAATTATCTTTACAAATTTATAAAATGATTAGCAAAAATTCAATTATTATTATGAATAATAAAATTTCTCTTAAAAAATCCAATTATTTTCATGAATTTTAAAAAAATTCATGAAAAACTTTTCTAAGAAATATTGGAAAAAATAAATCGAGTAGAGTAAAAATAAATCGAATAGAGAAAAAATAAATCGAATAGAGAAAAATAGTTCTTAAAGTTAAAGTAAATCAAATAGGGAAAAAATGAGTCGAAGAGTAGAAATAAATCGAAGAGTGAAAATAAATAACCAAAAAATTGTTCGAAGCATAATAATGAGAATAAAAAAAAAAAAATTTCTTATGTTCCAGATCAATGATCGACGCCCTTCCAGGCAATTGCAAAGAAAGGGACGGTCTGACTTTATTAGCACCTGGTCCAGGTGCACCGCTTCTAGCCTCATGCAGTAAAGGTTGGATTGTTGTTGGCCGAAGAACAGAAGGGACAATTGACTTTGATCGCAGCTGGAACGATTACGCCACTGGTTTTGGTTCGCCAGTCAATGAATTTTGGGCAGGAAATGAGGCCCTCCATCGTCTCACAAGGGACAATTGTACGAGATTGAAAATCGATTTAATTGACATTGATGGCACATATTGGCAGGCAAACTACGAATACTTTACCGTTGACACTGAGGAATCTGGTTATAGATTAAGAATTTCCGATTATTCCGGCAATGCCACCGATGCGATGTCCTATCAAAATGGAATGGCATTTAGCGCAAAGGACAGAGACATGGACATTAGTCCAAGTGATTGCGCCGCTAATTATCATGGCGGTTGGTGGTTCAGTCATTGTCAGCACGCAAATCTCAATGGTCGATATTCCCTTGGGCTCACATGGTTCCGTTCCGATATCAATGAATGGATGGTGATTGCCTCGGCGGAATTGTCCGTGCAGAAAAAGAGTCACTGCTAATCATTTTTACAAATTTTATAAAACATTTTTTTTAATTTTTTTTTTTAATTAGAGAAAGAGAATTTTAATTTTTAATCGTAAATTGAATTATATATTTATTTATTCAGAGTCTCTTATTATAGTGAGCGAATTTTATTACCTGAAGGAACTTTGGGAATAATGCTCGTTACTCGACATGTTTCTTGAAAAGAAAACAGTGTACAGAGAAGAAAAAAAGTATCCAATGGAAGTGAGAATAATATTCATCTGCCATTTTAATTTATAGAAAAAAAAAGTTTTATAGAAAACAAATTTTATACTACGAGTCAATTTTATCAATAGACAAATAGCGATGAGACTATGAAAGTTAAAAATCGAAAAGAATTATTTCACATCATTAATTCAGAATTATTGTTTTTCATTAATAATATAAAAAAATATTATTAATAATTAATACAATTAATAACAAATAATATAAAATTATATTATTAATAATTAATACAATTTTGAATCAGTTCCTTAAACTACGAAAATTAAAAAATTGTAAAATTTTAATTTCTGCGTCTCGTCGAAAATGCGTTCAGACCAAAGACTTGATCATATTTGTAAAATAAGAATAACTTGTAAATATTGTAAAAAATGTCCACATCACGAACCAATTTATACAGCAGTGTGTAAAAAAAATGTTTGTATGTTTTTATAAAAATAGTCAGTAATTTTAATCGAAAATATTGTAAACAAATTATTTTAAATAATAAATATTATTTTTAGAAATTAAAATCCGATTTTTTATTTATTTATTAAATTAAAGACTTCGCACTCGTTAATTAATTTTTGAAAAACAAATTTCTAAATACATTATTCAAAATATCAATAACTTTTTTTTAACTAAAAAATTTAATACTTATTTATTTTTCCACAAAAATTAAAATTCTAAATAATTTCAAATGTTAAACATAAATTAATTACCTAATTTTTGAATTGATTTTCTAATATACAGAAATTACAATTGTAATTCCTCCAAAATTCCATTATTCCATCGAAATTTTTAAATAAAATTAAATCAAAACTTTAATAATTTTTAAGAATAATATTAAATTAATGATTTTCAAAATAAATAATAAATATTTTAATAATTTCTTGTTTTCTTCTAAAAATATAATAAAATATGACAGAATTTTTAATTCTTTCAATTTTTTTGAAATTATTTTCGAAAATTTAATTAATTTCACAAAACTTTTAATTACAATATAAATTTTCAACAAAATTGTTTTTTTCATAGAATTTATGAATTAAATTATTCAAATATTCAATTGTTTGTTTATTTTTGTTAAGTAAATATTTTAATACTTAATGTTCATTTTTCCAAAGAAATTAAAATTTCGTATAATTATAATCTTAATTCTTCCAAATTTTAATGATTTTTTGAAAATTTAAAATAAAATTCTTCTTTATAATCAATTATCAATTATAGTTTTAATAATTCTTTAGAAAATTCTACTAGAATTTAATTATTTAAAATTTTAAATACAACTTTTGTAATTTTTCTTGCTTTCTTTTAAAAACGTTTCATAATAAAAGTATTCTTATATTTAAAAAGGAATTTAATTTAAATAAATATTTTATGAATATTTAAAAATAATCCTTTTAAAGACAATCAATTTTCATAATTATTTATAATTGAAAAATTTCCGCATAATTAAAATTTAAGAAAAATCTTTTGGAAATAATTAAATTTTCTAAAAAAAATTTTAGAAAATAAAAAATAATAAAAATTTTCAGAAGAATTTTAAATACATTGATTCATTTTTCAAAAACTTCATATAAAAAATTATTTAAAATTAAGATTTTCAAAGATTTCAATTTAAAAATCTTTTGAAATTTAATTATTTCTAAAATTTCTTACCATAACGCTTTTAACATTCAATTTTTTCTGAAATTTTATCTAAAATTCTTTAAATTAATTCTCATTAGAAAGTTCTACGAGAATTCTTTATAAAAATTCAATTATTTTTGACAATTTGAATAAAATTTTGAACAATAACTGAATTATCTTTATTAATAATAAAATTCTTCGTAAAAATTCAATTAATTTCATAAATAATAAAATTATTCGAAAAAATTTAATTATTTTTATAAAAAAAAAAATTATTCGGAAAAATTCAATTATTTTCGTAAATGATAAATCTTTCGCAAAGAATTTAATTATCTATTTAATAATTAAATTATCTATTATCTTTATTTAATTATCTTCAGAAATAATAAAATTCTTTGCCAAATTTCAATTATTTTTATAAATTTTAATAAAATTCTTGGCAAAGAATTCAATTATCTTCATAAATAATAAAATTATTCGAAAAAATTTAATTATTTTTATTACTAATAGAATTATTTGCAAGATTTCAATTATTTTTACGAATTTCAATAAAATTCGTAGCAAAAAATTTAATTATCTACAGAAATAATAAAATTATTCGTAAAAATTTTGCAAAGATTTAATTTTTTTTACAAATAATTAAGTTTCTGTTGAAAAATACAATTATTTTAATAAATTTTAATAAAATTCTTAGCAAGAATTCAATTATTTTTATAAATAATAAAATTCTTCGCAAAAATTCAATTATTTTCATGAATTTTAATATAATTCTCAGCAAAGAATTCAATTATCTGCAGAAATAAAAAAATTATTCGTAAAAATTCAATTATATTTATAAATAATAAAATATCTACTCAAAAATCCAATTATTATCATGAATTTTAATAAAATTCTTGGCAAAGAATTCAATTATCTGCAGAAATAATAAAATTATTCGTAAAAATTCAATTATTTTCATAAATAATAAAATTTTTCGCCAAACCTGAAATTAAATCAAAAATTATTTTCCAATGAATCTTTTTTAAGACTTTTTTTCTCCTATTTTCTAAACTTATTTTATTCGTTATTAAAAATTAATTTAAATTTTCTTCTAAAATTGCTTCTTTTCCACTTATTTTCGATTCATTAAAAAAAAAAATTCTTTAATAAAACCAATGGCGATTATTATTTCTTGAAGTGCATTTATTTTTTATTAAATATCAGACAATTATGCAGAAATGAATATTTTCATTAAAGTTCATTGATTAATAAAAGAACAAAACTAAAACTAATTTTTATAAATTGAAAAAAAAGAGAAAAAATATTTTGTAAATTAAAAATTGATCACACTTACGTTACTTAAAAAATAAGGGAACAATTTATATTTTTTTTGTCTCGATTAATAGTTTTTTTTTATCTTTATATAATCTGCTCTTCCTCCTGTTCTTCCTCCTCTTGTTCCTCCTCGTCTTCCTCGCCTTCAAAGTATTCCTCGATCATTGCCTCAGCCTCGACAACTTCCTCGACAATATTTCTCGTCACCTCCTCGGTGAATTGTGCCCGACATCGTTTCTGATGAGCGAATAAACTTCCCGAATTTCCATAGCCAATACCGCACATTTTACAAATATACGGCTTCTCACCGGTGTGAGTGAACATATGCTCATTCAAATATTTACGACGTCTGAATGATTTGCCACAAGTTTTACAATGATAATGCGCTTCGCCAGTGTGCAATAATAAATGATTTGTGAGTCCGTTCGTTGAGTGATAAGTCGCCGGACACAAATGACAACTGTAGCGTCTTGTTTCCGAATGTCTCAATTCGTGTTTCTTTCGATAGATTGGCATTGTGAATGTTTTCTCGCAGAAACGACATTTATAGGGTTTAAGATCCATATGAAGTTTCTGATGATGCTTCAAACCGGATTGTGAGGCGAATGTTTTACTGCAAACCTCGCAGAGAAAATGCTTCTCTGTACTCAATGGTTTGCCCTTGCCATGAAGACGTAAATGTGAATTTAATAAATATTCGTAGACATATTTCAAGCCACAGACTTCGCATTCAAAACGTTTTGTCTTATCGTGTATCCTCATGTGTGTCTTTAATTTCTCCTCCGTTTTAAATACCTTACTGCATGTTTCGCATGTGTGATTTTTCTCCGCTAGATGAAAATTGGAATGTCTCTCGAGAAATGCTTTTGAGGTGAAAACACGTGGACACATGTGACAGAGATATTTTTCCTTCTCCTCGTTCTGCTGTTTTTTCTTTCGTTTCACTGTACGCTTCTTTGTTGTTTCTATTTGTTCGGGATTTTCATCAATTTCCGGTGCTGCATCATCGGAAATGTCTTCTTTAATTTCAACTAATTCGTGTGGTTCATGATGTTCCTGTTGTTCGGTGTCGGAATTTTCCACGTCGTTACTTATTTCCTGTGCGAATGATTCGAAAAAATATGAGACTGGATTTTCGTCGTTGTCGTCTGTTTTTTCGTCTTCTATTTTTTCGATTTCTTCCTTTTCCTTGATATCATTGTCCTCGTTGTCGTCGTCGTCGTCGTCTTCATCGTAGTCGACTTTTAATGCTCGATTCTGCTCTTCTTGGAGGGCCTCGATTAGCAATTCTTCGGGATGTTCCTGTAACACTTGCTCTTGGTGTTGTTCAAATGGCTCGTTCATTTCCTCCACGGCTTCTTCGATTTCCTGTTTTATTGGCCTTTTTGATAGTTCACGAATTTCCTTTCTCTTCATACGATCGTAACTTTCGACCTGAACTCCCTTTTCCTGAAATTTCAATATCGTTTGCTTTAAATAAATTAATTAAGTAAATAAAAAGAATTTATCATTGAATGACAATTTATAAAAACGAAAAATACAACTTAGACGAATTCAGGCTTCGTACTCGATAATTAATTTTAAAAAAGTAGCTTTAAGGAATAAAAGAAAAAAAATTATTAAAAAAGTAGCTGTCGAAAATTAAATTTTACGATTCAGTTTTTGTAAATAATTAATTTAATTTAATTTAACACAATTTGTAAATTAAATTACATTCAGAAATAGAATAATATTTTTTAAAATAAATATTTAAATACCTATTTATTTTTCCATGAAAATAAAAATATTTCAAATGATTTCAATGCAAAGCCTTTTTGAAAATTTAACTATTTCTAAAAATTACAACAACTGAAATTCTTCCGAAATTTAATAATTTTTCTATTGAAATTTTAAAGTAAAATTATTCAAAACTTTAGTAATTTTATTTCAAAATAAAAATATTAGGTAATTTTATTTCAGTTTCACAACAATTAAAATTTTTAAAGAATTAAATTTAAAAATCTATTGAAATTTAATTCTTTCTAAAAATTCACACTACAACGCTTCTAATATTCATTAATTATCTAAAATTTTAAATCAATTCTTAGTAGAAAGTTCTACGAGATTTCAATTGTTTAAATACAAAAAAGAATAATTTATTAAATAATTTAATATTACGAAAAACTTTTGAAATTAATTAAATTTCCACAAAGAATTTTATTAAAATTTTTTGAAAATAATTAAATTCTTTTCAAGAAATTTTATTAAAAATGTATTGAAAATTATTAAATTCTAATAGAAAAAAAGTTATAACAAAATTTTTAATAATTGAATTCTTTAGAAGAATTTTTTAAAAAAATTTAAGATTTTGCATTTTTCGAGGAATTTATTTAAAATTGTATTAAAAATAATTGAAATTCTCCGATAAGTTTTATTATTTATGAAAATAATTAAATTGTTGCAACAAATTTAGTTAAATTTTTTTTTTTTAAATAATTATTGAATTCTTGCACAGAACTTTATTAAAATTCATGAAAATAATTGGATATTTTATAAGAATTTTATTAACATTTATAAAAATAATTTAATTTTGGCGATTTATTCTATTATTTATGAAGATAACTGAATTCTTTGTCAAGAATTTGATTAAAATTTATGAAAATAATTGAATTTTGAGGAAAATTTTATTAATTTATAAAAATAATTGAATTTTTGCGAATAATTTTATTATTTATGAAGATAATTAATTTTTTTCAAATAATTTTATTATTTACAAAAATAATTGAATTCTTTCGAATAATTTTATTATTTCCGAAGATAATTAAATTCTTTGCCTAGAATTTTATTAAAATTTATGAAAATAATTGAATTTTTACGAATAATTTTATTATTTATGGAGACAATTGAATTCTTAGCTAAGAATTTTATTAAAATTCATGAAACAATTGAATTTCTGCGAAAATTTTTATTAAAATTGTATTGAAAATAATTAAATTCCTGCAAAAAAAAGTTATTCTTTATGAAATAAATAAACTTTTGTTTATAATTTATTGAATTCTTTTGGAAATTTTAATATTGAAATTTTGTTTCATATTGAATTGATATTAATTAATATTGAAAGAAATTAAATTTCGAAGAAATTTTGAAAATAATTAAATCTTTTGAAAGAATTTCTTTAAAATTTTTGAGAATATGTAATTTTTGTATTCCAATTTCTTTATTAGCCAATTTAAAGTAGTGCAAATTCTCAAATATAGAAAAAAATTGATTTTTTGAGTCACAAATTCAAAAAAAAAGTATCGAAATAGAAAATCGTAAAAAAGTAGTAAATATTTGGTTTTAGTAGATGAGTACAAAGTCTGTGAATTAAAAATTAATAACTTACAATTTTTTCGATAAAATTATCCTCTCGAAGCTGGGAATAATTTTTCTGTGGCAACTTATAAAATTTACGTAATTCATTGTCAGATTTTTGACAGAGATTCCTGAAATCCCAGGCGGATTGCAATTTTGTGGTACATTCGTCGCACACAGACTTTGGCATCGGATCCTCTAAGGTTACCTGCAAACGAAACTTTTCTTAATAAATTGTGAAAAAAGTGTAAATAGTTTCAAATATTTAAATATTAGAATGAAAAATTTAATTATTAAATTTGGAAAAAACGTGTAAATAGTTTCAAAATATGTAAAATAGTAATAATAGTGAAAATATTAGAAAGAAAGAAATTTAATTTTTAAATTAAGAAAAGAAGTGTAAATAGTTTCAAAAAGTGTAAAATAGAAAACAGTTTAAATTTTAGAAAGAAAAAAACGTATAAATTCATAAAAAATAAAAAGAAAAAAAGACAAGAAATTACTCAAAAAATTACCTCAATCGAGCAGCATTCCTTTAAAAAAATATTAAACTGCGGTTTCGCGTGATTACCGCAAATTAACGGTGTCAATTTATCTTTCATTTGGAGGCACAATCGACAGGTACGCTCGGCAACTTTCGATGGTTTCAATTTATTCTGTTGAACATTGAGTCGTTTCATTGTGATAATTGGACTCTGATATTTACTGACATAAGCATGATCCTCGACATTTTGCGACTTCGATGGCGATGGTGATACACGTTTTTTTGCTACATATTTTTTCATTGGAGAATTCAACCACTGTGGTGATTCTTGTGGGGCATTAATTTCCTGTTTAATCGTAACACATTTTAAACCACTAGTAGTGGTGGAGGTAGTAGGAGAACTAGTAGTCTGAGTTGTTGACAATGTCTTTGGACTTTGCAATATTCTCACTGCACTCAAACTCTGTTTACTAATAAATGGTATCATTTTCTGTGCATTCGATGTTGTCGCCAAATTTTGAAATGTATTTGGCACTTTTGTTGTGTTCGTCATATTTTTGATATTGCTCATTATGAAATTTGGCACTTTCACCATACCATTGCCGAATGTCATCATTGTTGCACCTGCAGTGCCGGGTTGAACGTTTGTTTTCATTTTTATTGAATCGGCATTGACAATTTCGAATTCCATCACTTCGTCTTCATTTAATGTTGGCATGTTATTTTCTCTTGAACATTTACTTGTCTGATGGTTTTTTTTGGGGGAGGAAAATTTTTTATTGTAGTTTATTTACAATTTTTTGAAAAATCGGATAATTCACACAATTATCATTCTATCAGCATCTAGAGGAGAGGTGAGAAAAAAAATATTGTTAATGTGTTATACAACGAAAGTAAATAATTCAAAACAAACACTGAGTAAAGTAAAAAAATAGTTTGCGTAATAGTGGAAAATTTTCCTTTTAATTAAACTTGACAAAAACTTTATTTTCACCTGGAAAATACGAATTTGTTGCTGCAAATTCGTACAAAAAATTACTTTTTGACATAACCTCAAAAAAATGATTAAACGTGTCTCAACGCAAGAGAAGATGAAAACTCTTCGAAAATACCAATTCTATTGGTGTATAATTTCTAAATACACGCACAGAAATAAAATCTATGGAAAATAAACTATTTTTAAGGAATAATTGCAATTTTTTAAATTACCTTCTGTGTAACAAACATTTATTCACAATGTTTTATGACGTTGATGCCCAGCTATGGATTACGTCGATTACACGGATAGGTTTAGTAGAGATCTACTTTACCATTAAAGGTCGAAAGAGCGAAGAGCGAATATAACCTAACTTTTTCATAAAGAATTTTGTCTTTCGACGATTTTTATCAGCTTTATTAATCAAATAAACATTTAACTAAAAATCATGTCGGTGTGGAGACAAGCGGGTCTTAAGTAAGTAATTTTCTCCCAAGTAATATATTTTTACTAAAATGTAATTTGACATAAATATGAATTTTATACTTTTGCATTTGTATTGATTTGATAAAGTTATATAATCTGCAATGTTTCATAAAGTTTGTAATTTTTTAATAATATTCGAATTAATGGCACATTTTTGTAATTATTACCTATTATTAATTAGTAATACACCGCAGGTTTTGTGTTAATGATTTTAAATGAACAATTTTCGGAAACATAACCTCAAAAAATACTTCATTTCATTGATTTCGTTTGATTCAATAATTTTGTTAAAGAAAAGTAATTAGTTTTAATTGCATTATATTAATACCTAATTTATAAATATACCATTTTTTTATCAGATACGAAAAATCTCAGAATTAAGAAATATTTCGATTACAGTTACATCAATTACTCTCAAATTGCTGCTCGTCTTCTTAGACAAGCACTCAAAGCGGAATTTAGGGTGGAAGCTGCAAAACGTGACGAGTCAAGTATCAAATTTACACAATGGAAAGATGGAAAAGCAATTAGTGAGTATAAAAAATATTTTCGATACTTAAATATACCTAATTTCTTTGGAAATATCTTTTATGCAAAATTTTAAAATTGTAAAATTTTTTTGTCAATTCTTGAAAAAAGTATATTTTATGATTCCTTATTTTCAATTATTATAATAAACAAACATTTTTACAGCTGAGAAGGCTTAGGCACAATTTTAGGAATTAAGTGAGTCGATACGTGTTAAGAGAGAAAAAAGTGATAACACTGCATGACTGATAAGATTTAAGCATGAAATTTTTTTCTAACTGCACATTTACATAATTTTGTCTATTAATCGTTTACACAATATTTGCACTAAGTACAAATATTTAAAATATTTATAACAATATTTCTGGTTATTTTTGTTAAATTTTAATAAATTTTTATTTATTTTTATATAATTTTCTTGGCGTTGTTCACAACGTAAATTATTTATTTTATAATAATTTTATATTTATAACGTTTTCAATTTTGTTTAGAACTTTTTTAAATTAAGGTTTTTTTACGAACAAGACAGAATTTACGTTAAACAAAATTTATTTTATATTAATAAAAATATTCAGTACATCTTATTACTATATATTGGGCTATAGTGAAAATTTATTTTGCAGAAAGTTTATTTACTCAAATTATGCAAGTTTTAAAAAATGTTAATTAAGAAAGAAGATTAACTTTGCATCAAAAGAATGTTGAATTTAATAATTTCGAATTTATTTTTCATGCAAAATGTGTATTTTTTTTGCTGCTATTTAACAGTAAACCTTGAACGAAATTCACGTTCAAGTTGTTTTATTTACTAAATGTGTGTTTGAATTTTCATGTAAAAAATAAACGTTTCATTAAATTTTTTTTGTCTAACACGAATAATTTTTTGTTTCAGGGAAAGAAAATTAGGCGGCGTCTATCATACAGTCAAATAGAAAATTATTCCTCTAAAAAAAAGAATACAAATTAATTTAAGTTCAACTGTTTACCGTTATGTAAAATAAATTTTCATTTCACCACATGAATTTTCTTCTTTTATTGCCGTATTTACATTTAATTCTTCAATCGTCATCTCACGATCGGACTGTGTGCTTTACAATAAACTGAAAGAGAAATAGAAAAAATTTATTACTTTAAAAATTGTTTAAGAAAAAAGAAAAGAGAGAAAAAGAGCAAAAAGAAGTAAAGAAATAAAATAAAAAAGAAAATAAACTATAATTTGTCACTAAATTGAAAATTACCAATGAATTCCGAAACAAGATCATTTTCGTTGTCGCCTCTCATTGTTCCTGTAATTTCTTCATTTTCCACCATTGGCAAAAATAGATTGACAAATTCCGTTGAATACGGAGGGGCGATTGCCTCTAAAACCTTGAATTAAATTTTTAAAACAATTAAAATAAATGTAAAATTCAATCCTTACTGTATGAGAAAGCAAAATAGATAATTTCGATTGAAAATCGATTCTACAATTATTTCTAGTTAATTATTTTGTAGAATAAAAATTACCTCAGTGACGAAATATCGAATTAAGGAAATATCTGTGTCGCCCTTCTGCCAACATTGTTTTATATAGCAAACAACAGGCACAACGCATCCACGACTCAATAGATTTACCATTCGGTCCAGAAGCATTTTTTTCATTTCCAACTGAGGGCAAAAAAAATGATTTTAAAATAATTGTTCACGTTTAATTTTTTTTTGTTTTGTAAATACCTGTACAAGAATTTCCAATTCATCTTGTTTGCTCTCGAAAAGACGAACCAGAAGTTGTAAAATTTTTGGATGCAAAAGCGAATGACAGACGACAACCTCATCCAATAGTGCGAGATGAATTGGACAATGTTCTGTGCATAATTTAAAATAAGAAGGTTCTGTCACTGTGTATTCTACCCAGCGAATTACTCCAATACTAACGACCGGATATCTAAAAGAAAATAATAATGAATTTCAAAATGAAAAAATACTCCAAATTTTCTTTCTTTAAATTTTTAAATTACTTTTTTTTAAAAAACTGGCTTTAATTTCCTATTTCCGATTTTCGAAATTTCAGGTAAAAGGAAGAGAAAATTTAAAAAAGAAAAGAAATAAGAGAAGAGAAATAAAATAAAAGAAAGAAAATTAAATTACTCACCTGATGCATTGATAAATTGTCGTTAATTCCGCAATTAATTCAGTCGATCCTTTATTATTATTACAAATATTGTGTACTTTCTCAATGGCTTGTATTGTCGTTTTAAGTTCATCTTTATTTATTTTACGTGGATTTGATTTTTTCGCTGGAGTCTCACAAACACTCGCCGCGTAAGCCAGTAAATAAATGTACTTTGGTTTGTGCTCCTGATTTACTTTCACGCCCGGTTTAAAGAGAGCGTCAATCAATAATTCTAGAGTGGAAAAAAGTAAATTTTTAATAACTAAATTAAACTATTTTATTCCTTTTCTACTATTTAAAGACTAATGAAATTAATTTTTCAATTCTAGTAATTTATAGTGCTTTCTATTAATTTATTATCTATTAAATAATATTAAATAATTATTAAATTTATTATTCTATTAAATAATGAAATAATTACTAAATTTATTATTCCACTAAATAATGAAATATTTTATTTATTAATATTTTACCCAATAGTTGCGGATTACGAATTAATTCAATCGAGGGTGGATCGGCTGTTGAATAATTTCTAAATAAAAGTGAAATATCCGCTGGATTGAGAGTATTACGGGATAACATAGACGCTAAAGCTTGAGACGCTGCCGGAAATGCTGCAGCTCCATTTAGTGCCATTGTAATTGGAGTAACATCGTGTCGACTAGAATTTAATTATTAATTTTATTTCCAAATAAAATAATAATTAATCAATAATTAATTTATTTAAATTAACTGGTATAATTGAAGATTTTTTCTTACTTTTGTTGAGCACATTTTGTGATTTCTTGTGATAGTCGTTTCATCATAAATCCACCGCGTGGTTCTTGGGACAATATTTGCAATAAAACTTGACTGTAAACGTAAGTGTGTTGACCGTGACAAACCATTTTCTGAAAAAATTATTTTAAGTATTTTAATTATTTTAAAATTTATTTTCAAATAAAAAATTATTTTAAGTTTTATTGGTTTCAAAATGATCTCTAGTAAAAGTTTAGGATACATTCTCTTTTATTTTTGCTTTCTGTATTCAATAGTAAAATAAAAAACTTACTGCACATTCTTGAATACTCGACTGCCAATTTTCGGTGTTTTGTAAAAATCCCGCAATCGCCGTTTTCAAAACACGAGAAAATACTTCAATTTGTTGAGCTGCAGTCGAAATACTTGTGATTTCACCTTGGAATCCAGCATCGGAAATAAGCTAATTAGGAATTCAAAAACGATTCTTTAATTTACATATTATTTTAATTAAATTCAATATTTCAATTAAATTCTATATTTGAATCAAATTAAATTTTTGAACTAAATTAAATATTTGAATCAAATTAAATATTTGAACTAAATTTAATACTTGAATCAAATTAAATATTTGAATTAAATTCAATACTTGAATTAAATTAATAAGTTAAGAATAAAATAAATAAATTAAGAATAAAAAAACGATTCATTACTTTAAATATTATTTTAATTAAATTAAATATTTGAACTAAATTCAATATTTGAATTAAATTAAATAGGTGAATTAAATAAAATATTATTCGAATTAGATTTCCCTAAAGATAAAAAATTAAAGGCACCTTTATGATGAAATTCAACATCAAACAATCGGGATAATCTTCGGCTAATTTATAAATTAACGATCGCCAAGTTGGATGCTGAATCATTTCCGTCAACCAGGCGGGTGTCTAGAAAAAATGTTCTTCCTTATAAAAATGATTTTTATTTATATAATATTATTGTTTACAGAAAAAAACTAACCTCTCCTTCCTCGGTGAAAATTTTGTCCGCCTTCTTTGGCTCGAATGTTTTTAAAACCATATCCTTCAAATTATTTTCAATCATTGCCTGAACGTCGGTTACTTTAACTTCAGCAAGAATGAGCCACTCGGCCAGGAGATTATTCATTTGTGCGCAAGCCGTGTAATTTTTCGAAAGAAAACTAATAACCTGTTCTGGATTTCCACCGGCTTGAAAATATCTAAATGTCAAATATTAAATACCAATCAATAAAGAAAATCAAACGTCATAGTAAAAAAAACGGAGGTCTAAAAAAAAGTTATTTCAGATGGAATTTGATTTAAAAATTGAAATGACTACTTTACCTCTTTAATTGATTAAATATTCCTGGTTCCATTATATTGTCCGGGGTTTTGAATTTTTCTAAACATTCATTCAAGACTTCTCGAGGGTTTTCCAAAGCCTCTTCCATACTGACATCATCTCCTCGTCCCATATCATCGCCCCAAGTACCACGATCTTCCTCATAATCGGACTCCATTTTTCTGTCTAAGAGAAATTAATTAAAATACACCTACCTGATATTTATAAACACACCTGGACTTTGTAAATACGTACCTCGAATTATTTCCAGTAATTATTACTTAATAAATGATGTACTTTTCAGAAATTGAAACTTAACCTCACTTTTTCAGTTAATCGCTTCTATTTTCAAGAATTTCACATTAAGTTGAGAAGAACTTTGCTTCCGATGGTAATTATCACTTGGCTAATTATATAAAGTCGTTTATTTATAATTTTACATTGTATACGAGAAATTATAGCGATAATTAAAGAACACCAAAAATAGGTTAGAACACAGTCGCTATCACTTTTCTCCACATAATTCAAAGCCTTATGGCCAAAGTGTAGACGAAAACAGTTAAGATTGTAATAATAAATATACAGTTATTAGTAACAATTGTTTAAATTTGTCTAAACATTCAATATCATGTAATGATGATTAAAAACTTTTCTGTTTATAAACAAAAATGCGCACAGCGCAAACTTGCTGCCGACGCGCATGCGCTAACTGAGTAAATTAACTTTCGATATAAATCGATTAGTTGGTTCCAAAAAGTTGCGCGCGAAATTTCAAATCAAAGTATTTTAAATCAAACAATTATACATGAGAAAGAAGAATAAAGAAATAAATATAAATATAAAATAATATAAATATAAAATAATATAAATATAATATAATATAAATATAAATATATAAACATATAAATTCAATTAAAAAAATATATTTATAAGCATATAAATAATTTTGTTTTTGTAATATTATAATCGATAATAATAATTTTTATTATACAAAAGAGTAATAAAAATAAAATTAATTGAGTAATAAACATAAATTTTAATAAATTACCGACCCATCAATATTAAAGAACATAAAAAATAATCTTTTTTTTTTTTGTTTAAAATTTTTAAAAGCGAAATTTGTAGCTGATGACATTTTTTATTTTTATGGTTTATTTCTTCGAAAGTGTCAAAATATAAAAAATGACAAAAATAAAATTATAGAGGACATTGGGGGAATTTATATCGATATTTATAAAGTTTTTGATATAGTCGCGCAGAATAAATTTGGGGAATTTATTTTCAAAATTTCTTTTTTGTTTTCGCTTTTTTGATATTTACAATATAAACATGTTGACAAAATTTATAATCTGCGATCGGTCAGGGGAATCACTTTTGTTTGATTCACTCAAGTAGGCCATGGTTCTTCACATCAGGCCAATATATAGTCGTATGGTTTAATAAGGACATTTGCAGCGTCTTTAATTATTACGCAATCAATTTCTTCCTATATTTACAAACAAAAAAAACACGGCGTATTTTCCTGTATCGATTTTCTATTTAAAAAAAATTTTTTTCTTCCAAATTTTGCAATGAAAAATTATTTTTTCAAATTTATTTATTATTTAATTTCTCCATTATTGTTTACAATAATAATAATAAAATATACAATTTTTAATTCTTATTAATATTATTATTATTACTAAAATTATTATTATATTTTGTATTTTTATTTTTGGTCTCATTTTTCAAATTATTATTTTAATTACTATATTAACACTATAAATTAATAAGTCTGATATAAAATAACTTTTTATACTTTTTTCTATTTGTTAAAAATAAAATAAAAATTATTTTTCATATTAATTTTAAATATTGTCTGTTTAAAAATTTCTTTCTCTAGTTAACTTGAAATTTGTCTGTTCAAAAATTACTTTTTCTACTGAATTTAAATTTTGTCTGCTAAAAAATTACGTTTTCTATACTGAATTTGAATTATGTCTTCGCGAAAATTAACTTTTCTACTTAATTTAATTTTTTAATTCTCAAAAATGATTATTTTTCAGTTAATTTGAATTTCGTGTGTTCCAAAATTATTTTCTCTATTGAATTTGAATTTTATTTGCTCAAAAACTACATTTTTAACCTTATTTGAATTTTGTTTGTTATAATATTACTTTCTCCATTAAATTTAAACTTTGTCCGCTGAAAATTAATTTTTCTTCTTAATTTACATTTTGTCTCACCAAAAAATTATTCTTCTACTTAATTTACATTTTGTCTGTTTAGAAATTAATTTTTTCACCTTATAATTAAAATTTTGTTCTCTTTAAAATTATTCTTATACTTAATTTGTGCTTTGTCTGTCCAAAAATAGCTTTTTCTACTGAATTAAACTTACGTCTGTTAGAAAATTACTTCCCCTACTTAATTTGAATTTTAAATGGTCAAAAATTGTTTTTTTTTTTACTAAATTTGCATTTTGTTTATTTAAAAATTTCTTTTTCTATTACATTTAAATTTTGCTGTTTAAAAATTACATTTTCTACTTAATTTAATTTTTTACTTCTCAAAAATAATTTTTTTTTACTTAATTTGAATTTTGTCGGTTCCAAAATACTTTTTTTACTGAATTTGAATATTGTTTGCTCCAAAATTACTTTTTCTACTTAATATGACTTTGTCTGCCCAAAAATAGATTTTTCTACTTAATTAAAGAATTTTCTGCTTTAAAATTAGTTTTTCTAGTTAATTTGAATTTTATTTGCTTTAAAATTATTTTTTATACTTAATTTTTGTCTTGCTTGTTCAAAAATTGCTTTTTCTACTGAATTAAACGTACGTCTGCTAGAAAATTACTTTCTCTACTTAATTTGAATTTTGAATTTTAAATCTTGCGTCTGTTCAAAAATTACATTTTCTACTGAATTTAATTTTATGCATCTCAATAATAATGTTTTTTTACTTAATTGGAATTTATTCTGTTACAAAATTACTTTTTCTACTGAATTTGAATTTTGTCTGCTCCAAAATTACATTTTCTATACCTAATACAACTTTTGATAATTTTTGATAATTTTAGATTTTTTACCAAAGGATGGAGACAAAAAAATAAGTAAAGTGTTTTTGAAAAGCCCAAAAATAATGAAGCTAATTGCCATAAAAGAGAATAAAAAATGTTGAATTTTGAGAAATTCGGTTTTTCGAATTTTTGATAATTTTAGATTTTTTACCAAAGGATGGAGACAAAAAAAATAAGAAAAGTGTTTTTGAAGAGCCCAAAAATAATGAAGCTAAATGCTATAAAATAGAAAAAAAATGTTGAATTTTAAGAAATTCGGTTTTTTGAATTTTTAATAATTTTTTATAATTTTAGATTCTTTACCGAAGAGTGGAGATTAATAAATAAGTGAAGTGTTTTTGAATAGCCCAAAAATAATAAAACTAAATGCTATAAAAAAGAAGAAAAAATGTTAAATTTCAAAAAATTCGGTTTTTCGAATTTTTGATAATTTTTTATAATTTTTGATTTTTTACCAAAGGTTTAAGATTATTAAATAAGTAAAGTGTGTTTGAAGAGCCCAAAAATAATTAAGCTAATTGTTATAAAAGAGTAGAAAAAATATTGAATTTTAGGAAACTTGGTTTTTCGAATTTTTGATAATTTTAGATTTTTTTTGAATAATTATGATGAGACTTATGAATTTTGTTTTTAGTCAAAATTCTCAATTCATCAGAATTCATCAAAATCGTAAAAATTGTCAATTTTCAAAAAAAAAAAATTCATAATTCCTATTATAATTATTCAAAAAAATTGTTTCGGTGCTTAAATTGTTGCTGGGTTATAGCCCGCAAATAAATTAATTTTTCTACTTAATTAAAATTTTTTTTGCTTTAAAATTATTTTTTTTACTTAGGTAATTTGAATTTTGTCGGTTCCAAAATGCTTTTTCTACTGAATTTGAATATTGTTTGCTCCAAAATTACTTTTTCTACTTAATATGACTTTGTCTGCCCAAAAATAGATTTTTCTACTTAATTAAAGAATTTTCTGCTTTAAAATTAGTTTTTCTAGTTAATTTGAATTTTATTTGCTTTAAAATTATTTTTTATACTTAATTTTTGTCTTGTCTGTTCAAAAATTGCTTTTTCTACTGAATTAAACTTACGTCTGTTCAAAAATTACTTTCCCTACTGAATTTTATTTTTAAATAGTCAAAAATTATTTTTTTTTACTAAATTTGCATTTTTTTTGTTTAAAAATTTCATTTTCTATTACATTTAAATTTTGCCTGTTTAAAAATTACATTTTCTACTTAATTTAATTTTTTACTTCTCAAAAATTATTTTTTTTTATTTAATTTGAATTTTGTCTTTTCCAAAATTACTTTTTCAACTGAATTTAAAATTTCTCGCCTCCAAACTACTTTCCCTAAAAATTAAAAAAAAACCGAATTGAAAATTCGTCTGATCAAACTGTACTTTTTCTACTTAATTATTTTTCTCTACTTCAAAGAGATTTTTCTGCTTTATTTAAATTTTGCCTGATAAAAAATTACTTTTTTCACTTCTTACATTTAAATTTTATATAGAAAAACAAAATTTTGACTATTGATATTAAAATTTATTCTCCCAAGCGGCAAAATGCAACTAAAATCACTTAAATAATGCCAAAAAATATTTATTTTGCTACAAACTGTTTGTAGAAAAATTTCAATGTTTTTTTCAACTTCATACATACTGAAAAAAAAATTTTATTTGATTTAAATAAGCGACTACTCGTCTATTATGCCAAATAAATATTTATTTGAATCAAATATTTTTTATTTAAAACAATTAAATGGTATTTGAATCAATATAATTTCAGTATTTAAATCAAATACCATTTAATTGACTCAAATAAATATTTACTTGAATCAAATAATTTTTATTTAAATAAATTAAATTGTATTTTAACCAATAATTTCAGTATCCGAAGCAAATATGAATTGAAACATTTAATTGACTCAAATAAAAATTATTTGATTCAAGTAAATATTTAATTAAAAATGGTTTATTAGAATCAAATAAATTTTTTTTTAGTGAAGATAATAAAAAAAAAATAGTAATCGAGAACAAAATGTGAATGAATTCACCGAGATATCAGTATATATATAAATTTACCTACATTGTACTTCTAACGAAGCCTGGTTACATTCTCGTTTCCTTCAAAACATGTTATTACTACAAATCTCATATCAAAGCGGACATATTATAGAGTTACCATTTGAAAACAATTAAACAAAGAAATATCTATATAGATGCATGTATATACGTGAAGTAAAAAAAAAGACAGATCATAATCAATGAGTTTGAATCTACCTCAGATTTTTATGTAACTACAATTCCTTTAATTCCAGGAAACAATATATATATATATATATAGAGAGAGAGGGAAAATTATATTTACCAGTAAGCAATATTTTGTTTGCACTCTAATTTAAACAACTCGCAAATGAAAGAAAAAGACAATCTTTTCTTTTGAAAACGTGCAAATGAGCTTTTCAAGGGTACATCTCTCGGTTATAATAAAGTTAGAAGCGTACGCGATAGGTTAAGGCCCCTCTCTTTCTCTCTCTCTTAGTCTCTCTCGTAAATCGTAAAAAGTTATCGTGCATACTTGACCGACTACTCCATTTTCGATTCCTTATCATTATAACTAAAGGCAAACGTGGATTCGCAG